AGGTGTGAGTGTAGGTCTTACATTCTGCCTCTTGCTCATCGTTGAAACCTTGTTGCTTATCATACTTAAGGTGTGAGTGTAGGTCTTACATCCTGCCTCTTGCTCATCTTTGAAACCTTGTTGCTTATCATGCCTGAGATATGAGTATAGGTCTTACCTTCTGCCTTATCTCGTCAATCTAAAAACGGCTGAATTTGTCGCGTGGGTGTGAGAGGGTCCTTTTTACCGTCTGCCTCAGTTTGTAATAAACCTATCTGTTGTCCTGCTTATTAGTAATATTAATACGCTGTTTAAACGGTTTTTCTAGAGTCAGTGGCACGTTAACTCGAAATTTGCTATTAGCAATCGATTACTTGTTGTATAATTTCTCATTTCGCTCTATACTTCACCTCCTGTGAAGATTATTCATCATTTTACTCTATTATCTATGATTTATGCCATATCTATATCGTCATCATGAACTAGATTTTTTGTCTTCCTTATTATGGTAATCAGGTTGACCTTTTAGTCGAGTTTGTTACAACTCTGACTGTTTTGTTACCGGACTGTTTGTTTTTATTAATCACATTTTTTAGAATAAGGTTATTTGAATTAAACCAAGGGGTTTTATCCACTTTGGATCCTTGATTTGTATAATGTAATTAATCAGGAATTTATAAGCTCTTTCGAGTTTATATCCAGTATCTCCCTGTAAAGTGGCAATAGATAGACTATTTTCACTTTATTTCGGATAATAATAATAGACTTTCGTCTTTATGTATTTTCTCAGATATGAGATTTTATCCTTAATATCTTGTTACTTCTAGATAATTTCCTCGTTTTGAAGTAACAAGAATATTTTGTTAATTCTTCTTCAAGTACTTTCTTGTATCTTGAATAGTAATTTAACGTTACTGTTTCCAGTAAATTTGGGTATCAAATCTTCTTTGAATGAAGTCCTGGCGGGGAAGCCATGTAGAGAATTATGTTGTGGTTTTTCTACCGAATCATTCATAGTAATAGATTCTTTATTTATTTCCAAGGACATTCTTAATAAGTTGATATTGATCCCGGTGTATTAAAGTATATAATATACACATGGGAATATAATTAACATGACAAGTGTCAATTAAGATCTTGTCATTTCTTATATAAAGTGTTGGAAAAGTTTTAACGTCAGAAATAACACTTTCGTGTAAAGTAACATTTCTTTATCCTATATGAATAATGTCGTAATACGTATATATCACGTGTTACCTCATAATTCTGACATTAAGTATTCACTTCTACGGCTTGTTTCCCTAGATAAATACTTAATACATTAATATTTAATATTCCGGACCAAACAATACACTTAATTGTTCTCTAAATCTCTAACTGTTGTGACTTTAACCTGGATACTCGAGGATAAAGTTTATGTCACTATTGCTGTTTTTCGTACAAGGTGAATGTATCGATTTCTCTAATATATAAAAGGAACAAATTTTCAGTTCCGATATATAAAACTATTTATGTTATATAGACTACTCTGTTACAAGAGGATGAGCGAGTTACCACTCACTGACCTCAGTAATAGGTCAAGATCCCTAATTGACGTACATCTACTCTCAATTAAAGCTTATAGTTCTTACCATTCAGACACTAATTGTTCCTTCTAAATGGAACCTCTATCTAATATACAAAATCTATACTATGCCCTTTATATAACACGGACTGTCGTTGTAAGTTGGGTGCAACCAACTTACATGAAACATTTCAATGTTTCATATGTTAGCCCTAATAACCCTGATCGTAAGCAACTTCCTAAGAACCTTAACAAACTATTAGAATGTCCTTATTAAATAATACAACAAAACATTTTGTAATCTAAGCCTTTCTGCTGTGTGTCACATTTAAGCTTTTGTATTGATTTGCAAATCATTCAATACAAAATAGTGGGGCATGAAATATTTCTTTTATTAACCAAGGACACTCCAATTAGTATATAAAGCGACACTGTCACATCGCTATAATATTTACTATTATCACAAAAGATATCATCATTGTCATTTTAATCAAGAATTATTAAATAAAACTAGCAATAAGAATAATACAGTTAATAGATATATCGTTACAATACGTCGTTGGCCTATTGGAAACTATTTCTAATAAATATATTCCAGGCCGAAACAACACAAAATAATTATTTTGTAAATCACATCATCACTATAGGAGTGAATAATACAACTGATTCAACATTCCAAGATGTAAGAAAAAACAAGGAAAGAAAATGAGTGAAAAGGAAGGAGAGTATAATTTTAAAAGATTAGAGAAACCAGTTAGACAATCGAGAGTTCTGCAAGAAAAATCTCATGGTGAGATATTTACTGCCATCAATAGCTTAGGCAGACTTTGCTACATTAAAGGAAATGGTAATGAACTTGGCAGGAAGTTTTGAAAAGATGAAAAAAGAACAAATTGAAATAGAAGAAGAAGAAACTAACATTGAAAAGAAATTAAAAGAAGAAGGACAAACAAACATATAAAATTATTACAAAGAAGGAGACAACGAAATGTCGCAATTAAAAAAAGACCTGAGCGAACAACTCCCACAATACCTTGAAAACTATTTAGAACAACACTTTGTGGCCATTGAAAACTACATTTCAGAAGTTAGAGGAAATTCACACTAGAGCCACTACAATACAAAGAAGGCAAAAGCTGAGATCGAAACAGTAAAGAAGATCAGAAAATTTTGTCCACATCTCATCACAAACCCAACTCCTTTATTACTACAAACTTGTGGGAAAGTATTGGCTGATGTAAACTTACAAATCAATGCAGCTAACCTTATCGAAAATGTGGTCGACAACGATGTCACACAACAATTGCTTAACATACAACAATCGCTAATTAACAAAAGAGTCCAATACGAAGATTGGGATCTTTACCTATCAATGAATTGTCGCAGACATGCTCTAGACTTAACACGGGATTCTCGAGGAGATACATTGGCTTGGAGAGAATGCATAATAGCTTTATTTTCATTCTTTGACTTCGAACATGACGAAAACAATAGGTTTGAAGACTTGGTTTCAAAACAACCAAAGAATGGAGAAGCTCTGGCTACCTTTATGAAAAATATTATACAATTTGCTATCGACATTAAAGGCATGTAGACCTTTAAACTTACATTCAACAAGATAAACACTCTTGTTGGATCACAATTACCCATAGTAAAGAAACCCAAACACAATAAGGTGGACACTTTCGCTAAATTGATAACTTACGTCAATCGTAACATTCCTAAATCAGAAAAATACAAAAACATAAAACCACAAAAAGACGAACAACATTGATTTGCTATACAACATAAACAGGATAATTTCGACACTGTTAGAACTAGGAAATTTAACAATGTATATCACTGCATAAATTGGGAATGTTGCACAGGCCAAACCAGGTTTCTGCTCAAAATGCTCCTGGAGAACATGTTACACAGCTACTATCACAATACAAAATGATTATTTTGTATTGTGACGATATACCTATTAACTGTATTATTCTTATTGCTAATTTTATTTAATAATTCTTGATTAAACTTAAAAATGACATATTTTGTTATGATAGCAAATATCATATGCGTTGTGACAGTGTCGCTTTATATACTAATTGGAGTTTCCTCCGTTAATAAAAGAAATATTTCATGCCCCCAATATTTTGTATAGAATGATTTGCAAATCAATACATTCCGTTGCATTGATTAAGCGTTAAGTACAAAGTGACAAGATTAAGATGAAAGGATTTACATTACATGTGAATATTATTATGCATGTGGATGCTATAATGACGCTAATCAATGGCTGCCGCGACGTATATAAAGATCTCTGTGTCAGAATTATGAGGTAACACGTGATATCAACCTGTATTCTTTGTTGTGAATTCTTTAGTTGTAGATATCTAATAATTGTACGTCGAATAAATGCTGTTATGGTATTTATTCTATTCGTCTATTTGGTGGTAGATTAGTACTGTTAATAAGTATATTTATTAATTAAAGAGTTCTATATCCCTTCTTCTAATGTACAAAGTAAGTAAATAATATACAATACTATACAACTGTTTCAAATAGTAATTACTATTATTCTTTATAAGTATGAACGATAATAACACTTATTATCTGGTGTCATAGATCTTACAATCCATTCGTATTAAACTATGTTGAAACAATACAATACTTTAATACACCGGATCAATATCAACTTATTAAGAATGTCCTTGGAAATAAATAAAGAATCTATTTCTATGAACGATTCGGTAGAAAAACTACAACATAATTCTCTACATGAACTGTCACTTTGAGGGATTTATAACAACATTTATGATGAAAAGCTAATGTTTCATATTTCAACCCTATTAAGCCTGATAGTAACCCCAACTAAAATAGCGGTTACAATTAATAAATGATACAACGTGGGTAATGACAGGTGTATGATTTGGCCAGTATATGGTAAGTTTTAATTATTATTTAGTCGTATAGTCAGTTTTTTATACGTTAGAATAAAGGCTGCTCTGCGTTTATCCAATAGGATCTTAATGTGGAGATCTGTAAGGTAAAGTAAATATACTGTTAATTAATAATGTTGTCGAATGATCTTTCATGTAAAAGTTAAGATACTAAACAAACAATAATATACAATAAATTCGTTTAATAGCACTATTGATAATACGACACAACTTTGTTGTAACGAATCATATCTCGACATTATCAAGGTTCGAACGAACTAACCTTGAAATAATACAACAAGAAAGAAGAAGAAAATATGGGTAAAGTGTTGGATTATGGGGGTCGACAGATGCAACCAACAACCAGCAAATCGGCAACCAATTTTATTAGATGAAATTTGTAAGGTATATAAAGGGATAGTTTTATATCTTAGTAAATCTATTCCCACCCTCTAGTTAATCTCTTTATATAATGATATAGAAGAGTAACAGTTTTACAGGTTGCTAAGGTATAATTTGTCTATACCATCCCAACTATGTCTCGCTCTGGTACCCGATCTAACCCAACTGATGTGCCTTCAGCCGAGGATAACTACAACCTGTTGGATTCAGATCTGCGCCCACATAAAGCAAGTAAGGCCATGCAACGTAAGGCACGGAGAATAGTTGCTCTGATGGTTCTTGCACTGTTTGGAGCGATACTAATCGCCTCTGCAGGTTTTTTAATGAATACGAAATATGGGAGGGATTCTTATACGACAACAACAGAAGAGACACCCGCAACATTCGTGCCTGAAGACTTAGTGAAGAGGGAAGGCTCGGATACCGCTGTGTCTCTAGAGCCATATCTCACGGGTTACACTATTAGTGAATTCTACGGGACTGAATTGAACGTAACAACCTTGGAAAATAAGGCACGTAGAATTGTAAGGCCTCGCAACCCGTACGTGTGGTTCGCACTAACAGCGTGGAAGATATTTGAGTGGGGATGGAGTTTCAAGTCTACCATCAGTTCATGTCGGGATTGGTCGAAAGGGGGCACTGGTTCAAGTGCAGACTGTGTTATAGGAGCGCTAGACACAGGGATAACACTTGGAGCCACGGCATACGGCGTAGGATCTGCTTATGTGGCCATAGGGACATCGCTAAGAAATTCAGGTGTTCACATACCCGGTTTCAAACGGGATGAAGGGCTAGGAGTCTCGGAATCAGTAACAGCGATGGCGAAGTCACTGGCGTTAGCTCAGGGCCTGCAGGTAGCTACGATTCACCATATAAATGGGGATCCAGTCTTTAATGAGCATAGTGGCCATCCAGTTTTTGCAGTCCGGTCAGCTATTCACCCTATTGTCCATATGACGTCGCTGACACTGAACTCTACCCACCATACGTTTGTTATCACTGATACTCATCCACTCATTCAAACCGCTAAGAGAGACGAGAACTTCAACTTAGAGAACTTTAGCAGTGGTGGTTTACAATTTCACCAATATAAATCGGAGTCGGACAGCATTGCTGATATTAACACAGGAGGGGACTATGGTACCTTAGACCATCAATTAAGCTGTGAAATTGACATGGACTGGCACGCGTTCTCGTATGAGGTGTGGGACTACAACCACAATGCTGGCATCTCGTCAGGGACAGCATGGGCGTATCAGTACGACCCATATCCTGATGCTGACGGTCAAGTTATACCTTTTCCTGGTAATCCCATATCCCAGAACGATAAGTGTTATGTAGCCTAGGTCTTTAAAGGTTAAGATAGATTACATAAGACATAAACATTTATAATATATGTATCATGAACATAAAATATATAGAAAAGAAAAGAAGAAATTAAAATATTAAATGTTGAACTAGAAATTTAGAACACCCAATAGAGTTAATGCCACACTCGCGATCATCCAACGCAAAGCCATACAGGGTAGCACCAAAGGAAATGACGTCATTAAAGGATATTATTAAAGACCTACTAGGGGCGTGACAAGCGAACCATCAATATTTTGTAGATACATGAATTCAATTCTAGGTGACTTAGAATTAGTAGCTGTCTACTTAGATGATATCCTCGCATTCTCAAAGAAAAAACAACACTATCGACACAAAGACCAGGTACTACATTGACTGAAGAAGGAGGGACTTATTGCCAACGAACAAAAATGTCATTTTTTTCCAGAGTAAAGTAACCTTCTAAGGCCATGAACTGGACTCAATACTACCCAAACGGAGTAAGATCGAAGCAATCAGAGAGTTTCCCGAACCAAAAGCAAAGAATGAGGCACATTCCCTTTTTAGTCCAAATAAATCTCTATCGGAAATTCATTCATCATTGCTCATCAAAGTTACTACCCATTAACCAATTTATAACCAAACCCGAAACATACTGGCTCGAAGAGCAACACCGAAACTTTATGCTGCTGAAGGAAGATCTCTTCGAACTATACCGCTTAACAACCGACGCTTCCACTAAGTGATATGGCGGAGTCTTAGAAAAAGTCAGCAATCACAACGAAGTAATAGGAATCGTAGGATACTACTCAAAGTTCTTACAGAAAGCTCACCATAACTACACAGTTTCTAATCTAGAGCTACAAGCTACTGTCGGAGTTTTATCCTATTTTAGGTATATACTACATGGCAGACATTTTGAATCACGAACCGACCACTCTGCCCTTCTGATACTACAATCAAAGAAACAACCAATAGGCAGAATAGCAAGACAATTAGATTTCCTGGCAGATTTCGACTTCACCATCTCACACTCCACATAAAGGTACCGGCGTCACGATTGAGTATGGTTATGAAACCAGACGAATTTGAAACAGTTAAAAGCATCATACTTAGAAAAGAAAACGAAACTACAGAAGTCTCAGATAAAGAGAGGATCGAACCTGGAGGAGAGCGGATGTTGGATAGCAACCCCAACTAACAGAGCGGCTATGATTAACGAATGAGACAACCTGGGTGACATGAAATACTGAAAGTAGTTGCAAATGGATCAAGGCAGAAACATATAAAAAGGTCAACTAAGTCAAGGTCCCGATATGGTAAAAATATATACTACTGTAGAGTTTAGATATAGAAAAAAGAGACAAGCTTGATAATACTAAATTAAAGAAGGATTGCATGAGGGATCATGTAATCATCAACTATATAACAAAAATTGAAGTATATGCCTTCATATAAATGTTGTGATTTAAATCTTGAAATATTTTTTATCTTCTTCTAGAAAATCCCTAAAGAGTCATAAATTATGGAAAAAAATTAGTTGTTTTTATTCGAAGCCAAATTTTGTTTAATAATTACATACCCTCATATGGATACATGTAGTGTCTACACCGCTACAAGTTATATTCAATATTAGTAATTATGGCCGCCCGCCAGTTCCTAATGATCTCGATGACATGAAAACTTCTATCAAAATATTTGGATTATAAATAGAGGCTAAATATTCACATTTTAATTTATTTAAGATCTGTTATTGTCTAAAAACGACAAGGAAAAAATTCTCACTCATCTATACTATATAACTAACACGAGAAATTTTGATGAATTCTCAAGATAAGTTGTTGAACTTGCAGTGGTTTTTTCTATTGATTATGGTGATAAGAGTACTGGAATTTATATCTAACATAATCGCTATATAGTTGTTTGAAATTCAAACACATCTGTTTTCTTTTAATATTTAATTAGTGGCTTACCCTATTCTCACAGATTGTAATTTAATTATATTGTTTCATCTGTCATCAGTTATTTTTATTTACTAATTAGCATAACGTTTAATTGGGGCAATGTGCTCTATTTACTTTAAGAATCACTTCAAAAATACAAAATCGATCGTTATGTTATTGTAACTCCAAAAATAATCTTGGAATTTTTCAATATCCATTATCGAATAAAGCCAACATTACCATATTTATGTTCTAGAAATATATTTTTCCTATTTTTCTTTCAATACCTCTCATTCTTCTAATTATGAAATTACAAAATATCCGACACATAAAATATATCTTATCCTAATGAATTATACCTCCAAACAATAGGCAGAAATTTGTGAGATATTTGTATTAAATTAAATATATCAATATGATTTGTAGAATGCTTCTAATCAATGGAAATACTATTAATTTTTCTACACTTTATAGTGCCTTCCTCATAATTAGTTTTGAGTTCTTAAGTTTTATTGTTCTATTATTATTTTTACATCTTGTTCCTAGTAACATATATTTTTTCCATAGGTAACATTGACATCTAATTTTGCAATAAAAACAAAATTATTAAATATTAACGTTATTGGCTAAACGTAAATAAATGTGTTGTTTCATCACAACAACCAAAGTAACATTATTTATTATATAGGTAGAAATTTATTGAATAATACATACAAGTGAAGTTCTGATATTTACACCGTTAGTGTACTTCATGGATAGTCTAGTCTAGTGAAAAAAAAAGAATATTACATTCTATGACATTTACAAAAAAACTGAATCATATAAATTAAGTGAGAAGAAGCCAAAGAATATAAGACAAAAAACTATCACTAGTGAACAAATGCCAACAATAAGGTGGTTGCAGAATACATCAATGAAGATACTAATGATTCAGTGACTAAGATAGGACTGCCATTTGCGTACTTACTTTTGATTGAACTGGAACTGGTGTCAGATGAGGTTGAGGAAGAAGTATTTTTGGTGGTTGTTTTAGTTTCATTCAGCGAACTATATGTTCCTGAAGTTGTTTCAGCGTCAGTATACACCAATTTGGCAAATTCGATCTGTGCCTCAGCATATCTACCATTAATTAAACCATCTTTTGCTTTAATGGATTTGGCTGATCCAGATTTATCAGCATACATGTATTCTGAACCAGTTGAATAATCAGTAACCACTAATTTTTTAAGGTACATGGTAAAAGGAACATCATTATAATTTGTTTCACCGCCAGCCCATTCAATAACACCAGGCTGGTTCGAAGGATCACCGCCAGCCCAAATACCAATGTATAAAGACATTGGGGTTTGTGGATAACCTTCTGAGTCATCAGAATTCAAGGTTCTGACTAAAGTCCCATCAATATACCATTGAGTTTTGTCCTGTTGCCAATCTAAGGTATAATTATGAAAAGCGGAAACGCTGTCATTAACCGGGTGAAACATACCTCTATTATAGGTTGTGGTAACACCCTTTGAGAAGAAATTGGATTGAACTTCATTTTTATCACCACCTAGCCATTCGATATCAATTTCATCTAAACAATCACTTTGTAAAAAAATTGAAGATACGATACCAGTTCCTGGAGCAGCCTTAATTATAGCTTCAAATTTACCATACATGAAATAAAAATTTGATTTCAGACTTGGGTTATCAAATCTTTTGGTCAAAGAAATACCTAAACCACTTTCATCATAAGTGATGTTTCCTGGATTTCCGTTGTTGCTGAACCATTTAGACTCTACTAAGAATTCTTCAGAGAAAGAGGCAGACAAAGCATTATTTTTAGGACAATGCTTGTCATGCAACGGATTACAAGTAGTGATTGTACTTGCTGCATACGAAATCAAACCAGATATTAAAATTGATTTTTCAATGATCATAATTTATTGATGACGCTATTTCTTGACGATAACTTTTTTTATTCAAGAATAATACGACCTTAAACCTCAAATCGAACCCTTATCCATGCATTTGATGACACTACCTTCTCTCCCTTATATAAAATATTGAATAAGCAAAAGCTCTGGTAGAATTGACCTTTTTCATCCAAATGAAATCTTGGTTAATTGACAATATTATCAGTGGAATACTAAAAATAGATGGTTTTAATAGTTCAAGAATACCTTATTTAATAATGAATGGAATATAGAATCCCGGTATGATTTAAATGAATTGAATCAGCCTGGTATCGGTATACTCAATGGGTTAAGAATAATTATAATACCTATTAGGTACTAGGAATTTAAAAAAAAATTATGTTGAAATTAAAAAATACCACAGAAAAAATCATTCGTCATTATCCACCCTCCTTCCCTATCAGGTACAATATACGTAGACAATCCAGATGATATCTTTAACAATCCACCTTTCATATTATTATATTAGCACCCCTAGCAACACCGAAAAGGTTGCCCTAACAAGAAGAACTTAATTCAAGAGATAATAATTCTTTCGAACTGAATGAAACAAGGCAAAGCAAAATTGCTAAAGACACAGATGTTAATTGGTATCCAGTCAGAATCGAAACAAAAATGAGGCTGAACTTTAAAAAATTTGAAAAACTTCTTAATATAGAAAGAAGCTGCAAGAAGATAGCGATACATACACATGATCGAGAAACAAAAACGCAAGACAATACAATAATACTTCCAATTAAAACTACTGGAAGTACAAATCAATTCAATGCACTAGTTATCTTATTGGGTGACTTATGCAATGTAGAGGCCCTCTTTTTTTTTAAATTGCATCTAGTAATTACAAAAGAGCTCCAATGCATGAAAATTTGACTCTATCAAAATCAACTAGTTAATTGAAAGCATAATTAAACCCATTGAAATAGTTTCAGTTTGAGGTTTATATAGTAAGCTAAATTGATTCGACTCTTGCTTTCTGTCTGATTATTTCGAGTCTTTTTATTTTATTCTATTATATTCTTATTCTGCTTTTATCTATAATTGTGATAGGAAGGTATGCTTCTTGTTAGTATAATCGATGAGACATAATTGCAGCGCTACCACATGCTCACAATATGCACAAAATTTTCTATTCCGTTTTTTTGAGTTCGGGATGTGAGTCACATGCGAGTTTCCTAAGTAGGGAATCGGATACCTAACCGGGTATATTTGGTACCAGATCCGTTCCCGATCTGGAAACAGGCAAGCCACAGCTAAAAGAAAATACAAGAAAGACCTGCGTTTCTTTTTAGCATTCTTTGGAAAATTTGAAATATTAATAAGAAGGAATTCGATCAAGTTTCGAAGAAGTTAGACTGGATTATTTAAAAGGTAAGACTAAGTTTGATGGATTTTAAAAGTGGAATTGGCATCTCAGAAGTACTCTATTTGAACAATTCTGTATCAGTAGGTGTGCTGGCAATTAGATCTGTGATTTTTCCTCATCTCCATCCATTGTCGTTAATTGTAGGAAAAGGAAAAAACTGACTTATTAAATATATTAGGAACAATAGGGAATTTTATTTATTGGACAATAATTTAGAAACTGGAATACTTTAGATAATAAAATATAGCACAGATATATATATTAAAACAAACATGCCATCAATATTTAACAAAGAGTATTGGGCAGAGGTGAGAGATGGGTTTAGAACTGCCACTCCACAAGGCTCCTCTTTGTCTGGTGGGAATAATAGTATAGAGATGAACTCAAGTTTTATCACTGAAAAACGTTCAAACTCATTGAAAGAGGATAATGTAATGATTCAGACAACTTCTTCTGGTGCCACTAAAAATATTAATGGCACCAGTAATCCAAATGATAGCAATATGCTTTCAAAAGAAGATATCGACGGTTCTAATCTGAATAAAGATTTGAATATTAGACACTTGTTAACTTTAGCTGTCGGTGGTGCCATCGGTACAGGTTTATTTGTTAACTCTGGTGCTTCTTTGAATACTGGTGGTCCTGCATCTTTAGTCATTGGCTGGGTTATCGTTAGTACCGCTCTTTTCACAGTCATTAACTCATTAGGTGAATTGGCTGCTGCATACCCAGTTGTTGGTGGGTTTAGTGTTTATATGACTAGATTCATCGATCCTTCTATCGCCTTCTCTATTAATTTAAATTATTTGGTTCAATGGTTAGTATTATTACCATTGGAATTAGTTGCTGCTTCCATCACTATCAGATACTGGAATGACAAGATTAATTCAGACGCCTGGGTTTCCATCTTTTATACCGTAATTGGGTTGTTAAATATGTTAGATGTTAAATCTTTTGGTGAAACCGAATTCGTATTATCTTTCATCAAGATATTAGCTATCATTGGTTTCACCATTTTAGGTATTGTCTTATCCTGTGGTGGTGGCCCAGTTGGTGGTTACATTGGTGGTAAGTATTGGCACGATCCTGGTGCATTTGTTGGTCATACTGCCGGTTCACAATTCAAAGGTTTATGTTCTGTTTTTGTTACAGCTGCATTTTCTTATTCTGGTATTGAGATGATTGCGGTATCTGCTGCAGAAAGTATAGACCCAAGAAAAACCATTCCTGTTGCTGCAAAGAGAACTTTTTGGTTGATCACTGCATCATATGTAACTATTTTGACTTTGATTGGTTGCTTAGTTCCATATGATGATCCAAGATTATTAAATGGTTCAAGTTCAGTAGATGTTGCTTCATCCCCATTAGTTATTGCTATTGAAAATGGTGGTATCAAGGGTTTACCATCTTTGATGAATGCTATTATTTTAATTGCTGTTTTATCCGTGGCCAACAGTGCAGTTTATGCTTGTTCCAGATATATGGTTTCGATGGCTATAATTGGTAACTTACCAAAACAATTAGGTAGAATTGATAAGAAGGGTAGACCAATCAATGCTACCTTAGTTACATTATTCTTTGGTTTAATATCTTTTGTAGCAGCTAGTGATAAGCAAGCTGAAGTTTTCACTTGGTTAAGTGCCTTATCTGGGTTGTCTACTATTTTCTGTTGGATGGGTATCAATATTTCACATATTAGATTCCGTCGTGCAATGGATATTCAAGGCAGATCCCTTGAAGAAATGCCATATCTATCCCAAGTCGGTGTCTATGGTTCATGGTATGGTTGTATTATCCTATTTTTAGTATTAATTGCAGCATTCTGGACATCATTATTCCCAGTTGGTAGCTCGCAAGCTAATGCAACCACATTCTTTGAGGGTTATCTATCATTACCTATCTTGCTTGCATGCTATGTTGGCCACAAATTTTATTTCAAGAATTGGAGACTTTTCACTCCATATAATGAAATTGATTTGGACTCAGGTAAAAGAGACATCGATTTAGAATTATTGAGGGAAGAAAAAAAAATGGAAGAGTTGGCATTGAAAAAACAGCTCATTCTTCGTTAGATTTGTCAAGATCTGGTGTTAAAAAAACATTTAACTATCATGTTTTCTTCTTCTTTGCATTACTGAAGTAAGTACATATCAGTTACTTCATGGACCATATAGAACATTAAAATTAGAAATACTACTGAGATGAAAATCAGCATTTTATGAAACAATTATATAATATTAGTATAAATAAGATACAGTTAAATTAATATTAAATAACATATTTTCAAAACAAACAAACGAACATACCATTCATTCTTGTGTTAATATCAAATTTCCCCCACTGTCTTTCTTGATCAAGACCATGTTCGGTTCCCCTTCCCAATTCAGAAGGTCCAATAGAAGCCTAAAACTAAAATAGAAAAAGGGAACCCATACAATTGAGTATCCTAAAATCCAATAAACTGATCAAATCATTATAATTGGAAACCGATCCCAATTATAACTCAACAGACAGTGCTCTTTTTATACTTGATCTGTAATTCTTTTACTGACCAACCTGTCATTTATGGGAACAATCCAGTTACCCGCACTTGGTGAACATTTAAGCCCAAAAAAAAATTTTTTCCGTCAAAAATTTTGAAGAACCCAAGAAGATATGAACTTTATAAGAAGGTCTTACGTTAAAACTAGATATGATGATATTATTAATTGATTATTGTAATTGTATTGCTATTAGGTGCAGTGTGGAACAATCTAACAGTATTAGTAGTTGTTATTATTGTTAATATAATTATTTGTCATAATGTCAACTTCCCATTGTAGATTTTACGAGAACAAATACCCTGAGGTTGATGATATTGTCATGGTCAATGTTCAGCAAATTGCTGAAATGGGTGCCTATGTCAAGTTATTAGAATATGATAACATTGAAGGTATGATTCTACTGAGTGAATTGTCTCGTAGACGTATAAGGTCCATTCAAAAGTTGATCCGTGTTGGTAAGAACGATGTTGTTGTTGTTCTTCGTGTTGATAAGGAAAAAGGTTACATTGATTTATCAAAACGTCGTGTTTCTTCTGAAGATATTATCAAGTGTGAAGAAAAATATCAAAAATCTAAGACAGTTCACTCCATTTTGAGATTTTGTGCTGAAAAATTCCAAATTCCATTAGAAGATTTGTACAAGAGCATTGCTTGGCCATTAAGTCGAAAGTATGGCCATGCTTATGAAGCCTTCAAGATTTCAATTATTGACGATTCTGTTTGGGATGGTATTGAACCACCATCAAAGGATGTCTTTGAAGAATTGAAATTGTATATATCTAAAAGATTGACTCCACAAGCCGTCAAGATCAGAGCCGATGTTGAAGTCTCATGTTTCGGTTATGAAGGTATTGATGCGATCAAGGAAGCTTTAAAGGCTGCTGAAGCTATGTCTACCGAACAAATGCAAATTAAAGTCAAATTGGTCGCTGCCCCATTATATGTCATTACTACTCAAGCTTTAGATAAACAACAAGGTATCGAATTATTAGAAACTGCTATTGAAAAGATTAACTCTATCATTACTAAGTATGATGGTGTCTGTAACATCACTATGCCACCAAAGGCTGTTACTGCCACTGAGGATGCTGAATTACAAGCTTTGTTGGAAAGTAAAGAATTGGACAACAGATCCGACTCTGATGAAGATGGTGAAGGTGATGATGACTCAGATTATTAAGCCATCCTGTATCATATGTATATATGTATAACTAAAACTCATTTGATTGGATATTTATGTTGCTTTAACTCTGACATTGTTTCCATGTTATACCAAAAAGATGTGGCATTGACGAATTGCAAACTTTTATCGAATTATTTATTAGTATCCCGAACATTTAACTAATAATAACCCAAAGTACGATCAAAATAAGTTTTTAATTATCTCATAAATAGAAATAAAAAAAGCTAAATAAAAATAAATATTTAAGACTTCTGGTTGAATATAAGATAGGATCAATTATAATAATTTATTTACATGATAATTTTAGAAGTTCAGTCCTCATTCTTTCATCAAAGAGCATTCCAGTTGGCTCAACGGCTTGATCTTGTAATAGAAATTTTCCCAATCTTTTTTACTAGTAATTGGCAGCTTTTCAATATTATCCCAATTAAACTTTTCATTCAGGAAATCAACAAATGGGATTGGAATTTGTCCCATTTCTTGTGTCTTTGACCATATTGCCTTATAGCATCCACCTAAAGCACATGAATTAGAAGTATTTGAGAATCTATAATTTCCCTCTTTGGCACCTAGTACTTCGGCATATTTATCAACTATGGCATCATTTTTAGAAGCTCCTCCAACAAAGAAGACCCTCGAGGGTCTAACTTTTTTGTATTCAAGTAGTGATAAGTTCTCAAAATCAAATTTTACTTTCTCATTAGAACTATCATTTACTACATTTTCACCATCTGATAATAAAGGTGTCAGTCTGACACGACAAGATAAAGCTTGTGATTCAACTATATTTTTTGGATCGTTCTTGAAAGAATCGACATATTTTTCGATGTCACCAGTTTTAATATTGAACTTGGCTCTTTTGCATACTGCCTCAACATTTGGAACAATCTCACTTATAGGGAAATACACACCAATTTCATCAGCATTGGAATTTCCTTCAGTGCATACCTCTTTATTAAAAGCTTCCCAGTCGCCTGTGTCATTATCATTAATTGCGTCACGAATCTTTTCTCTTGCCAGAGATCCATTGGAATAGCAAATCATACCCATAAAATGATTTGGAATAGTTGGATGGATAAATAAGTGATAATTTGGGGAAGGGTGGTATTTTGAAGTAACTAACAGAACAGTTGTACTTGTTCCTAATGAAACTAGAACATCATTCTCTTTTAATGGCAAAGAACAAATAGTTGCTAAATTGTCACCTGTAAATGAGAAAATTGAACAATTTGGGTTAATATCATACTTTTGGACAAAATATTTAGAAATATTTCCTAAGCTTATAGGGTTCTTATTAATTTGTAATGGATTCCCCATTAATTTTGAATATAAATCGGTGCAATTTTTTTGATTGATTTTACTATCAATCACATTTAATAGACGTTGGTCAAAGTTGTGATTCTTGATGTCATATAAATTCATACCACATGCATCAGCCTCTTCCAATGGTAATAATTTACCACATAATATAGAATGAACAAAACTTGAAACTAAAGATATCGTTCTGGTATTTGAATAATTATCAGGTTCTGCCTCTGCAATTTTAAGAATTTGAGGTCCAGTAAATCTATAATGAGCTCTTGAACCTGTTATTTCACACAGTTCTTCCATCCCATCAACTGAAGCTTCAAGCTCATTACATTGTAATGAAGTACTATGGTCTTGCCAATTAGGGGCGTTTTGTCTGCTGAAAGCCAATGGTACAAGTTGCTGAGATAAAGAACCCTTGGATACATCCAAGCTATTCAACAAGCTTTCAGATTCATGAGACCAAAATACAGAGCCATGTTGTTGACAGGATCCTGACATGGCTTCAACTTTCTTCAAATCAAATCCAGATTCGTGAAACTTTTGAAATATCAAATCAATAGCATCAACCCAAAGACCAACTGGACAATCGACAACATTTCCATTGATGTAGACACCATTGTGAGTGTTATATTTAGGCAATTCTTTATCAAATTGAACTGTTTCAGCATGAATGATATTTAGATTTTGATCTATTGCTAAACATTTTAGCTGTTGGGTAGATAGATCGAACCCCAGGTAATATTTATCTTCAACCATATTAAATAAAAAGAATATGATATACCTTCATATATGTCTTAAGACAAATAAAGCTATCAATCGTTCAGAACTGTTTCTAGAAAGAGCATGGGTTTCACTGATCCCATTTTAAAATGATATTAAAGGAGTGAAGGTTAAAGGATTATAATTCAGAAATATCAAAAAGAAGATATACGAGATTAATTATTTAGATTTTATTTAGAACTCTACCTATATGAGTATATATATATGTGTGTATATCTATGTGTGTGTGTATATGCCATTCCTATCTCCAATAAGCTGCACTTCCATTAGAGAAGTGATAATAGTACCTGATTCCATTATTGAACGACTTTTGGTGTAACCCATTGCAATTTATGCTTATTATAAGATGGATAGGCAGGTACAATCACCAAACTAGCCACTAGTATAATCACACCATAAGCCACCAACAAGTTAAAAAGAGATTGTGTTATATAACCATATATAGAAGTGAATAGAACACCTACTGAAAGTATAACAGTTAACTTCTTCGATACTTCCTTTTGAGCTTGGAAATCGATTGGGAAAACTAGTTTCTTTCCTACTTCTTGTAATATATCAGACATACTCTCTTAGCTAACAGTTATATATTCAAATCTTCTTACCTTTAAACTGTTCAACAACTACTCATCTTAACCTTCGAAACTGTTATATTCATTGTTCGAATCGAATTTAAATCTTGGACCGTTTTATATTTAACTAGTTTCGGATTCTATTGCTATGGTGATGATATATATAAGACTCTATAAATATGGAAATGTTGGTATAAAGATACTAATCTAGTTGTACTATATGTGTATGATATAACCAGTTAATGCAATTGTATGTTGTTTATTGATATTTTCCTTTGGCAAGATTGAAGGAATTGGATATTCTTCATTTGCTTTGATGACTGCCAACACCGATTATTGTATCTTGTAACCAATTGATGTAGCTTTTAAAACCTTCTCCAGATGTTACATCTACATTAGTGTTATTTGTTTTTTCTGTATACTCTTTTATTACTGATTTGTTCTCTATTAGTCTGTTGAATGTGAACCTATTTAATAGATCAAGTTGGGCATTCCAACACGGAATCATGTCGTTGCTCAATGCATTGGTCAAAACATCTAATTGTGCTTTGGTTACATGTGCTTTATTTTGGGACCTTAGTTTCTTCATGAAATTGTACAAGTTAAATAGTCCCATTAAGCTGTTATGTATTTGTAAAGAGAGTTCTTTCGAATCATTTTGACAAATAGTAGAAATTATTCTTGTGTTAATGAAAAGTTCCTTAATGAACTTCTTATCTACTAATTTTTTAAAATGATTTGAATTTTGTAGAGTGCCTATGTCAGATCCAAATATGACTTTACTTAATTTTTCTTGCAACTCCTTTACCTGTTTCTTAAATTTTTCTTGAGTAATATCAAGTTGATTCTTTTCCTTTTCATTGATGACCTCACTGTTTGATAAATGATACGATATATATATCAAATCTGTCATGAAGTGACAGACATTTTCAACAAATATAACGGTTTCGTTAAGGATCAGAAACTTACTCCATTCTTCAAATGTCAATGATTCTTTAGCATCTTTTAAAATATCACCAACCGATTTCTTCTGACCATCAATGACTATGGTGCTCTTCTTGAAATTTTCATCCATAAGTATATTATTCATCTCTAATATATTAAAACGATTACCAACTCAGTAAATGTATTGTTGTCTTTCCTTGCCTTTATCTATGTGTTCGTCAGTTTTTAAAGAAAGGTGATGAGTTAGCTCTTAATATTAGCTTTTATAAAAGTTCACGGAATCTTAGTAGTAGAAGCAAAAATTGTTCAAGTAAGAGTAATACTATAAGAGTGAATATCTCAGATCAACAACAATATCAGACGAATTCACTACAGGGAACATAATATATAATGTATATTTGTTGATTGGATACATTCGTTTCTATCTATTTAATATTTCTAATACGCTAAGAATTATTTCTGATAAAATACGTAATACTGTAAATAGCATTTGCTAGATTTAAACTATACGATAGACTATTCTATACCTGATCATTACTTACTGTCACTTGAATATATTATATTATTATGGAAATTTATTTTGAAAAGTATGACATTTATTTCCCAGTTTATTTCATTTCATTCATTGTCAAAATTCAGGATGTGTACTGTATAAATTGTTCCATTCTTTCTCTATTCTATACTGTCCCAACCTCTACTAATGCAGTTCATCACCTTTTGATCCCATTTCCTGATGTTGCCAGGTCTTCTTCCAACTTGAAGTACTCTTCATAGTTCTCAATATCTTCTGACCCTTCAGTAACCTTAATCTCTTGTTTCCCATCAGATCCCTCAATTTCAACACTACTCTTATCAGAGGCACGTACTTGAGTTTTGGACTCAGTTGTATCCCAGGGCTTACCTCTAGGTTTCAACTCTGATTTAGATATTTCAGATTCATCATGTGTGATATTTGGGATTACCTTAACGTTGGGCACAGGCTTATTGTTAACGATATGATCAACCAACTCGTCATAGCTCAACTGAACACCAACCTTATCCTCTTCCATTTATAAATTAGGTACTTCTGTTATAGTATACTACTTGCTTGTTTATCTGTTTGTCTGTTTGCTCTCTTGATCCCAGTCGTATTCTGCCTTATTCTTGTTAATATAAGGAAGATATCAATTTCGAATATTTAAGAATTTAGTATATATTTAAACTCGAACTTGTTCAATTGATAAATGAAGAGTAGTAGTTCAAACTTGATGAGAATTGGGTTCTGAGAGTAGGTATCGAGATTCCATGGCTGGTTTGAATGAAAGGTTGCTGTTGATTTCAGCATTTGTATTACGATTGGTGTTTTACGTGTATGGAATTTATCAAGATGCAAACTTTCAAGTGAAATATACTGATATTGATTATTTTGTATTCCATGATGCTGCTATGTATGTATACCATGGTGCATCTCCTTATTTGAGGGACACTTACCGTTATACACCACTTTTGAGTTGGTTGTTATCATTCAATTTCCATTTAAATTGGTTTGATTTTGGTAAGTTGCTATTTGTCTTATTTGATTTATTTTCTGGTATTATAATAATGAAATTGATTAAACAAAACTCCAAGATTTCCAACTCTAAATTATTGATTTTGAGCAGTATTTGGCTTCTAAACCCTATGGTTATCACTATCAGTACTCGTGGTAATGCTGAAAGTGTTTTATCTTTCCTAATTCTGTTATCAATTTATTATTTGCAAAAGGGAAAATATATATTATCAGGATTAGTCTATGGGTTATCGATTCATTTCAAAATCTATCCAATAATTTATTCATTACCTATAGCATTATACATATATCGTACTCCCAAATGGTTTAGCAAGTTATTGAAAATGGGTTTATCTACTTTAATTACAACGATTATGTTAGGATACATGATGTATTCCATTTATGGCCAGGAATTCTTGGAACATTCGTACATCTATCATTTCTATAGATCTGATCACAGACATAATTTCTCATTGTGGAACATTCTATTATATTTTGATTCCGCAATTAACAATACCAATTCCACAACTTTTACTTCATTATCAAAATTTGCATTTCTACCACAACTATTGATGACCTTCACTGTATCCATTCTAGTGTACTACAATCCCACCTTTTTAACCTTATTAAAGGTTCTATTCGTTGAAACATTTGCGTTTGTAACATACAACAAAGTTTGTACGTCACAATATTTCATCTGGTATCTAATTTTCTTGCCATTCCTACTGGTTAACACTACAATCTCAAAGCAGAAAGGTATCGTAATGATCCTAGTATGGGTCATCACACAGGCTGCTTGGTTATCACAAGGATATCTACTAGAATTTAAAGGTGAAAATGTCTTCTTTCCAGGTATCTTCATCACAGCAGTAGCTTTTTTCTTGGGAAATATTTGGTTATTAGGCCAGTGTATACAAGATATTAAGGGTTCTGCAAAAATACAATCAAAGAAAACATTATCTAAAAAACTTAAGTAATACATAATCAAAAGTATCAGTCTATATACTTCATTTATATATCATAATTCATTTACTGTCACCTATTAATTATATAGTTCTTGAAATTCAACTGTTTTTTCACCATGGCATCAATTTTTAATATGGCGATATGATAAAAATTTGAAATTTAAAGATCAAACATCATCATCATCGAATGTAACTAGTTGCTTAGAGTGATAAACTGGATAGTTAAAGCAACTAGGATATCTTTTAACTGGGTGATTGGGAGTTTGTGTGTGTGTGTGTTAAAATTGCTGGGTTTGTTTTTGTTTAGTGATGTCAAGATTTGAATTGTACTCCCCAGAGGGATTAAGATTAGATGGTCGTAGATGGAATGAACTTCGTCGATTCGAATGTTCAATTAATACCCATGCACATGCATCAGATGGTTCATCATATTTGGAACAAGGTAATAATAAGATTGTTACTTTGGTGAAGGGTCCTCAGGAACCGATTTTGCGTTCCCAATTAGATGCTACAAAGGCCTCATTGAATATCACAGTAAATATTACAAAATTTTCCAAGATGGAGAGAAGTAAATCAAGTCATAAGAATGAAAGACGTGTATTAGAGATGCAAACTGCATTAGTTCGTACTTTTGAAAAAAATGTTATGTTACATCTTTATCCAAGAACTTTAATAGATATTGAAATCCATGTTTTACAACAAGATGGTGGTATATTAGGTTCTTTAATCAATAGTATCACTTTAGCATTGATCGATTCTGGTATAGCTATGTATGATTATGTTAGTGCTATTTCCATTGGTTTATATGATACAACTCCATTATTAGATGTAAATACTTTGGAAGAAAATGCAATGAGTACAGTCACTTTGGGTGTCATTGGTAAAAGTGAAAAATTGTCACTTCTTTCTGTGGAAGATAAGATCCCATTGGATAGATTAGAAAGTGTATTAGCTATAGGTATAGCGGGTGCCCATAGAGTGAGAGAATTGATGGACAATGAGTTAAGAAAGCATGCTGCCCATAGAGTAGCAAAATCTTCTGCAAAATAAATTAATGTATTATAACAAGTACTATAGCAAGAAAAAAGAGTGAAATCAAAAAGAAAAAAAAAATGCAGAGAATATTTCAGCATCCATAACCAGCATTACTTAATATTTAGAATAACATCATATCATATAGAGTAACAAATATAGATATTTATAGGTATCTGAATCGTTGTATAATAATTTTTATAAATATAAATTGATCAAAATTTATGAAATATATGAAATTGGTTATATAAATCTTAGTTTGTTTATCGTTAATATGGAGTCATGTACAAAAAAATAAAGAGTTGAAATTGTTATTAACAGAAGTTAAAAATAAAATAAAGTTTAATATCATGAAATAAAATAATAAAAAGTTTTTCTAAACCATAGCTTTATTCGTCATCATTTGAAGATGGACTTTCCTTTTCTGAATGTTCTTCTTCGACATTCTGCCCATCACTAGATTCATTATCATTGTCGTCATTATCATCTTCGTCTTCTTCGTCTTCCTCAGATTGATGGGCACGCTTTCTACGATTAGATCCAAACTTCTCGCCAGTGTATTGAGAAGCGAATTCACTGGCAGGTGAATCTTCCTTTATTAGTCTTCTTTTTCTATCTACAAAGTCTTTAATAAATTTTCCAGTATTAGCTAAGCCGTTGATATCTTTATCATTCTCGCTGCCTGCTAATTTTGAATACAATTTATTACCTAATGTTTTCTTTAGTAACATTTCTCTTACTTCGAAATATAAGTCCCTTGAAGCATTATTTATATGTTCTTGATTTTTCTTGAAATAAGATCTGAATTCGCTGATATGTTTTTTGAAATCCAATTCATTTTTTTTTAACCACGAGACGTTTAATTCTTGTCTAGTAGCACCTCTAGCGAAATTTCTCATTAGATATTTATCGTAATCTCTAATAATTTTTGTAATGATGTCACTTGTTGAAATACCTTCGGTTCTTTGAGTTGTTAAGAACTTACCCATTTCTTTAATTGGTTTGTAGATATCATCTGAATCTGCGCTGACATATGGAATATCATCATGTGCGACATAGTCGATATCGTGCTCGTCTAAAAATTTTGGTGTGACACACCAAGGAGCATCAGGGACAACCTCATCTACCCATTTACAATGTCTTAGAGTTTCGCAACGTTGTTCATCGGATAACACAGTTAACCCTTTCAATTTATGAGTAATTTTATCACTAGGAACACCACAGATAAGAGTAACATTTGGGAAAGACTTCTTACATTGTTCCAATTGTTTCATATGACCCAAATGGAACAAATCGAAAACACCATCGGCATATATACGTATTGGTCTATCAGTGGGAGGTAAATTGAATGGGAACCCAGTTGGCCTAAATTTACGTAAGTCTTCAGGCAAAGACTCGTCCAATATCTTTTCACGATTTAAAAATTCCATTTGTTCATTAGATTGGCTTAAACGACGACGTTTTATAGGATTACCGGAATCAATTCCACTTTTCCCATTATGAGAATTTGAAGTCGATGTATCACTGGAAGAAACCTCATCGTCATCATCCAGTGACCGTTTTCTTTTGTTCAATTTGAACAAGTTACTTAAAGAAGAACTGGATAGTCTTTTGGAAAGAGCAGCTCGTCTCGACCCTTTTGACATGATTGAAACTAAGATAGAAACTAAAAAAACAAATCAGAGATAAACAATAGCGACAATTGTAATTAAGGTATCAGATAGAATGGATAGCTACTACCTCTGTGCAGGAAAAAAAAATAAAATCAAAAAATTTAAAAACACACAAACAAACAAACAATTCAGTTAACTATGAGTTTGTGTTGTTGTTCTCTAAGTATAGCCACAAATATAAAGTATCAGATTTCCCTTTAACAATGTGATCATACAAATACCAGTAGTATAGAATAGTTTGCCGACCCAAATTTTTTTTATTGTTATTGTTATTGGAAAGATCACACGAATGAATTCGATAATCAAATCAATTGACCACAGACTGAAGGTATATAACTCTGGGAAATCAATACCTGAATGGATATAGTCGACACAATTCTTGGTCTATTATTTGTGAACCGAACAAAAAAATATAAAAAATCAGTAGAATCTCCTTGATAAGCACAAAAGCAACTGTTCGCTCGCCAAATAAACTGCACTACACCAAACCTTGATCCAGCAACAGATGTATGCTTCCTTGTATCCCAATCTACCAGCAAAATAACCCTTTTAAACCAATAAAGCTCATTGTTTGGTCAACTGTTCTTTAAATGCTTCGAATCGATTTATATCGATGATGATGATGATGTATCTGCATTTCCTAATGATGTGTCGTCGTTGTGTACGATGTGTGATTTATTACTATTGGTACATAGTTAAGGATGATGAAGTGTCAGCAATACAGGCAAATGGACTATTGATGATGATGAGGATGACGATGGGAGGGAAGAAACCGATGGTATAAAGGTTAGATTACAAGATTGGAGACTGTTAGTCTGATCTAGTTTGGTCTAGTCCTATTTCTGTTCCTATTTCCCTGGTTGAAATTTAAATAAATTAATAAATACAATAATAAAAGAATAATAAAAAAAACATTTTTGGTTAACGAAACAATTCACAATTGAATTATTGCATATTTGGTTGAGTTTAATTATAAAATAGTTTCTGTTCATAGGATCAACGAATTGATTTGGGGGGGTGGGGAGGCGTGAGCGAGGGTTAAAACCAATTATGTTTATGCTACCCTTTTGATTAGATGAACACCGCTGTCAGATTCGACAATATCACTGATTTCATTGATCTTTAATTTGAATGCAGCTTTCTCAAAACTAGGTTGCATTTCACCTTTACCAAAATATCCTAAATCACCTCCTCTCTTGAATGATGAACAATCAGAACGCTCTTTAGCCAACTCTTCGAATAAAGTTGGATCGTTCTTCAATTTCTCTTGATACCCCTTTAATTCTTCAATGGCTTCTTCTTTACTAATAGTAATATCCTCTGATCTATGAGATGCTGGTCTTCTGGATTCCTTATGTTTGATCAAAAGATGCAAACATCTTACTCTCAATGGATGAGTCTCTAAAAATGATCTCAATTTATCTTCATCAACTCCTTCTGGTGCCTCCCATTGAGAAGCTTTAGTCTCTGGATTGAAAAAATATTCTCGTTTCTTGGATCTACTATACCTGATAGTCCACGGTTCTGGTAAAATTGATTCAGTATCCATGGCTCTAAAATCAATTAATCTTTCTAAATAACAAACACTAGCGGATTCGATTTTTCCCTTTGTTTGTTCCCACTCGTTATTTTGTAACTGGTTGAACTATTGGAAACTTCTCAGTTCAAATTCTCACAAAGCAATAAAAACAACAGTTTCTTATAAATACACTTGTATAGCAGTCTATACACGTTCAACTCTACCTATTCAATGGTGAAAACTACTCTTTATGTACTTTTATCTCTTTTTAAAACTCATCTTTAACTATCACCAATTCTTTTAATTTGTATCGTTAAGGACAATTTTTCACCTTTAAAGAGATGAATATTCAAATCGTTTTGAAGTTTATTTAAACAACTTGATGGATTAATGAAATTGGAAGCTAGAATTTAGGATAAACCCTCATCAGGAGGCCATTGAGTTGTTGTTCAGTTGAGTTTGATTTGGTTTTGTTTTGTTTGGTTTTGTTGTGTCAGATTCTGCTAAAAATTGTTTATTTTAGATGTCGCCATTATTGAAAGATTACTTGAACAAGAAGATAGTTATCATCACAACTGAGGGACGATGCTTATTGGCAACTTTAGAAGGTTTCGATAAGAATACGAATCTGGTCTTGTCTCAGGTCCATGATCGGTTTGGTTCTTCCGGTGTAGTACAGGCAGTTCAATTGCTTCGAGGCAGTGAAGTGGTTTCCTGTGGGCTTCTAGACGATGGGTATGATGAAGCTGATGATTTAAGTAATGAAAGTGTTACACCTTTGAAAGACACCAAGAATAGAATTGAGGATGAGTATGCCATTTGGGAGAAAATACGATGTGTTAGTGGTCGTTGATTAATTTGGATCTGGACATTGATTCAAGATTGACAAAATGAAATGAAATTTGTACTTAGTAGTATATTACAGCCGTGAGGGGAATGTGTCAATCGTTGAGACAGCAAGCAGATGTTGCGAGCTAACTCTGAATGTTTCCTAATGGTGTGGATTTGTAGCCACAGAGGTCTCGATTGATAGTTTATTTTAAAGAAATCTAAAATACTATAGTAAAAAGAGATTTAATTTCATATATACATATATTGACTGAGTGAAAAGGATAGGAATTTGTTATAAAAGAGATTGATTTGAGTATACACAGGATGAATAAAAATAAAAGAAGATTATTCAATAGCTTTTGCATTTTTCAAAGAAGTCACCAGTTCATCTACAGAATTGACCATGATACCATTTTCTCTTGGTTTGGGTTCTTCGATAGAAATAGTTTTCAACCTTTGTGTAGTATCAATATTATTAAAATCTGATAACTTTAATTTTTCGATTGGCTTCTTCTTAGCTTTCATCATGTTTTGTAAACTGACATACCTTGGAGTATTTAATCTTAGATCAGTAGTTATAACTAGTGGTAATGAAGAGATCAAAGTCTCTTCACCGCCATCAATTTCACGAACAATCTTAACCTTTGTGTTATCTTCAAGGAATTCGATTTTTGCAGCGTTAGTGGCTTGTGGCCAACTTAGCAAACCAGCCAACATCTGACCGGTATTGTTACTATCGTCATCGATGGCCTGTTTACCTAGTATTACTAAATTTGAATTGTTCTTCATTACAATTTCCTTTAGAATCTTAGCTACAGACAAAGGTTCCAACTGCTGTTCACCAGAATCCACTAAAGTTGAAGTATCGACACCTTTAGCCAAACAAGTTCTTAAAACATCTTGAGCTTTAGTTGGTCCAATAGAAACAGAATGGATCAATTCTACCAAATCTTTGTTCTTCTCTCTGATTCTTACTGCTTCTTCGACAGCAATATCATCGAATGGATTAATACTGAACTTAATAGTCTTGCTGTCAATGGCATTATTTAGGACTCTTGGTCTGATCTGATAATCAATGACCCTTTTAACAGGCACCAAAATACGTAACTTTGACATGGACATAACTAAAATCTCTCTGTTGTACCTCTAGGGGAAGCTATAACTAATATATCGTCAATAGAATCAGATTGTCGACTTAGCAATACTTTAAAGTATATAGAAATTAATACTAGACTATATTACTTATTTAATTTGCCTAACTTATGTAAAAATAACAACAAAAAATAGAATAGATGGCTGTTGTTGCTTGATGGGATAAATAGAATATAGAATATAGAATATAAAATGTAGAATGTAGAATGTAGAGTGTAGAATATAGAATATAAAATACTTTACTTTGTTCTTTGTTTGTTCTTTAAATCAGTTTAAACATGAGAAGCGATTACTTTTTTAAGACCAACAGGGTCAGAACCAACAAACTGACTAAAATTAATACCATCTTTATAGAAATCAAAAGTTGGTGTTACAGTTATCGAATCAGCATTTGGAACATGAACTTTATCGATATCTACTTTAACTAATTTTAAATTTGCTTCGAATTCTCTTGCATATTGTAATATTACAGAATCCATTATTTGACAACTTGTACAATAAGTACGATAGTATTCGACAACTACCAGTTCACCTTTGGTGTTGATCAGGTCGTTTAATTGTTCTAAACTATGTGCTAAGTATAACATAATGCTGTTGTAGTTACTATTGTAGTTTCCCTCTTGTTGTGAAATGTATATATCCCTTTTATTAAGGTCTTGTTTTCCCTCCCTCTCTTTGAATTATATTTATAAGCAGTTGGGATGCTAATGCCAGTTGGGTTTAAACTTTGTTAATTTGAAGCTTTTGGAGTGTGTTGGTATCTTCAAAACAGATATAAGACGATGCCAATACGTTTGATATCCTTCAGACAAGATTAAGATGAACTCAATGAAGTAGTTTTGCTGTTTTACTCTATTGCTGTTGCTGTTTGTTGTTATATAAGTGAAGTTGTTCCTGGAAAGGGATAGGGGACAAAGGAAGGGTCAAGAGTTTCGAATCGAATGGGGAGGATATCTCTCTAACCAGGGATTGAATTTTGTTGCTGGCAGGATGAATTGATTGGTTAATAAGAATTTTGAGTTTATGAAGATGTCTAGTATGTTTAGATATTAGATGGTAGGTCTAATGTCCTTGTGTTGATGATATGTTTCTATTCAATGACTACGATGAGGTAAGGTGATTTCTTATGGTATGGGATGGTATGGGATGGCATAATATAATTTTTTCAGCATGGATGGATGTTTCCCTCACTGGCACATGCACTGAAAGGAACGCAGGAAGGATGGAAAAATGAAAAATGAAAAAAAGGTCATGTGTAGTTACCCGGAATATCGAATCGAGAATTCGAAACGGAGAACTTGTAGATACCTACCCATACACGCACAGCTCTTGAGATGAAGCTTAAAATGATGGGCTTTGACAGCAACTACAATGACTGGATGCTGTCGGATACACTTCTAAAGTGGTCAGTTGCAGTGCTCATGGCTACTATATTGCATATCATTCGACTTTGTTTGGTTTATTTTGCAGTAGAAAGAGAGAGACAGCGAGGAACAGGAATACCATAGATCAGAAATACAAGCAACACCTGATATCATAATGAAATTGAAGAACGAGGAATATGCTGCTTTGGATAAATGGTTGATTACAATAGTTCCTGCTATTTCCAGGGCTGATCCCCAATTACTAAAGTCCTTTGTCTTGGAATATGTCACTAGTGACCATTGCAATATTGATGATAGTGCAACTTTTATCAGAAATTTGAAAGAAGTACTGGAAGGAATCGTAGATGCTAATGGTCCCTTCGAGAGAGATTTGTACGATTTCTTATATAATCTGAGACTTGATGGGAAACCAGAAGATGATAGAAGTTCGTCGGTGCCGAAAATTGAAGAACGTACCCCAGTGAGGGACGATAGTGGATCATTAAACGCCAGTGGTGGTCAAGAACCTATTACTACGCTTGTACAAGATTCGAACTATAACAATAAAGACAACGATAAGGAAATCCACAACGACATCCACAATGACATCCACAACGACCTGGAAACCGGCATCAAGAATATAGAAGCTTCAAAAAATTCAATTATCATCAGTAATATTCCCAAAGACTGTTACTACATAGGGAAAGTTTTTAGACAGTTCAAATTTTATGGTATAATTACTAATTCAAAGCTATTGAAAGATGATAATAATTCAGCAGTGGTTCAATTTAAAAAAGAATCCGCTGCTGCTGCATTATACAATTCAACAGTTCCATTTTTTAACAATAGATTTGTAAGAATCGATTACTATAATCCACATACATACACGACAGCACACGAGGCTAAGCATAATGAAAACATAACTATTAATGATACAAGACATAACATTCCTCATAGCACTAATTATGGAACGCATTATATAGACAAAAGTTTCCAAATTGAAAACAGAGCTGTAACAGAGGATACTTCAAATAATTTCCATATTGAATCGCGATATGAAGATTCTGTAAACGTTTCAAATTCGATGATTCCTCACAATTTCGCAGCCAAATCAGATTCACAAAGAAAATATGATGAAGTTGTCATTAGTAATATGAAAACAATGCTTTCTAAAAAGAGGAAACAATTGATAGAGTTTAAATCTTTACTCAAAAAGTTTAAATTCAGAATAAGCAAATGTATAACTGAAGGAGATGATTCTCAAAAGACAACAAGCAATTTGAATAGAATTTTCAATGAAATGCTAAGCCATATGCAACTAAAACAATTGGATATCCATACTTTAAGGAAAATTCAGGCTAGACTTAGAATACTACTCAAAGAGAAAGATACATTCCATGAAAACATACCACGTTTCCCAGCAGGAAATAAACCTTATAAGCTAAACCGTAAAAATAATAATCGCATAAGATAGATATAGAAAAATTTTAATTCAGTTCCCTAAATCACTTATATTGTAATAAATATATAATATCCATTAAAGTTTAATTAACTTTTATATATGTAATTTTAATTACCTATTCCTCTTGATTTTTCCCTCATTCTTTCAATTCTAGCTTTCAATTGTGAAGTAACTTCTGCAGCTCTTTTCCAACTTTCCTCATTGACAAATGTATCATTCACATTGGAACTTGAATCAATCTGTAATAAATCTACACGATGGGGAAGATCGTCACTTGAGGCACTTCCAGTTCTGGTGTGTCCAATTTTGTTATAAGTGCCTAATGGTTTTTCAGAATGTAAAACTCTTGCATCTAAGCTATTAGAAAATAATCTTCCATTAGACAAAGATGAAGATGAAGAAGAAGGAATATTTTGATTTGGTTGATAATTATTATTATGTCCTTCCAATTGAGTAATTCGATCCTGGAGTTTATTGAGTTGTAATTCTTTAGATCTTAGTTGTAAATTTTTTTCATGTAATGTAGTTTGAGAATTTTGTAACTGTTTCTTCAACATTTCAATCTCATTTAATAATTGATTATGTTTTCTCTGATTGTTATTTAATTGTTCTATTACCTTATGACGTTCTTTCAACCACTCTTGCTTATCTTTTTTTAGTTCATTTATCTCTACTTCAAGTTTAATCATTTTTTGATCACTAAAGTTTTCCATTTGCTGGGTATGTCTATTTACGTTTAATGGTTTTGTTGGTAATGCTATCCTTGGGGTGGAACCTAAACTTGATTTAGTAGGAAGAGTTGTTTTTGTATTTAACTTCCTCAAAGGTGATGTAGCAACACGTTTAGACGGGATGGTCGATTTGTTTAAAAATGAATTGTTTGCAGAAACACTATTCCCATTAAAAACATTGTTAGTGTCTGTATTCAAAGGGCTAGTTGATAATTTTTCTTCTTCATTGAAATTTTTTGGATTGGATGTATTTTGAGCAAACTCGGGCAATGTTGTGACGATTTCTTCAATTTTTTTCCTTTTCAAATTATCTAGTTTATCTAGAGGATCCTTTAAAATATCGTAATCATTTGAATCGATAAAGATTTTGATTAAAATAGCCAATGTTTCGAAACCTTCATTTCTAATCGATGGTTGTGTATCATTTGCAATCTTTATTGCATTTGGTACAATTTCTTCCTCTAAATATTTCGACAGTATCTTAGTGGTTTCTGCAGTATTATAATTCTTTAAAATATAGTTGAGGAACATAGTACTCTCCATTCTTATTTGTGGTATTTTGTGTTTCATATATTTTAAAATCTCTTGTAATAAATCTTCATTATGATTTGAAATTGGGTTATGGTACTTTACTATGGAATAAAGAGTACCTCTGATTGCCTCTATTACACTTTGTTTTTTCTCTTTTGTTCTTTCAAGTAGTGGGATAAAACATAGATTTACTAAATTCTTATTAAAACCTGGTAATCTCAATTTCTCAATAACAGTATCTATCGATTGTGCAGCTATTGTAACAGCTTGAACATTTGCATCTTTCTGTATAATTGAAGCAAGCGTTGATATTAGTAAAGAATAATCCTGGCCATCGTTTCTAATTCTCTTGGTTTTCATAAGCACATTATCATAATACTCTTGTAATGCTTCAACTCTATCTTTCCATTTTGCTGAGCCTAACCTACCGTAAAAGTCCTCTGGAAATCGATCCAAAATAGTCTCTTCTTTTAATAACGTAAATGGATCTATATCTATTTGATTTTTTGAAGTTTTACTCAAATTATTTGTATTAAATTCCATCACCGTATCTCCATCTTCATCTACATCAAAATTTTCATTACTATTTTTATTTTCCTTTAAATTCTGCATTGATTGTTTCCTTTCCCATTGAAACATTATTTTATCATCAGAGTTATCATTAATATCATTAGTTGGCAATTTATTAAATAAAGTTATTAGATCACGTTGCTGGATAGGTTTTAATTGATCTAGCAACAAATCCTGTATAATATCTTGATTTCTACCCAATTTATCATAAATTTCTACAATTAAATCCATTGTATTTGATCTTATATTTTTATCAGCATGTGCTGCTAATTTAGGTAAGTTTTCAACTAATATAGGCAATGCCATTGATACGTCTATATTTATAAAAGTAAAATTCTTAATGATTTCAGTTAATGCCAATAAAGAGGAGATTAAAATTTTTGGAGGACCCTTTTTGTTTAGAATTGGTAAAATTATTTCAATTGAACTGAAAATGCTATTATCAAATGAACATAATTTAAGAATGCAATTTAATGAATTTGTTTTAGTTAAATTTCTAGTTGAAGATAAACATTTTTCTATTAATATTGGTAACCAATCTTGCAAAACTTGCTTAAAATTATTAGAGTTTATTGGCAATGATAAAGTTTTATCGTAATATTGATTTAGCAGAGTAGACAAAGCGACAACTGCTTGTTCTTGTGCTACCACATTAGCATCGCCAAGATACTGACTGAACAAATTGGGATCTTTCCAATACTGGTTACATCTTTCCTTATTACCTCTTTCAAAAATTTCTATAAGTTCCTGATATCCATGCAATCTTGCCTTCCATAATTTATTATTTAGTCTTTCATCTAACGACAATTTCGTAAAATCGATATCATCCTGTTCACTCATGATACTCTCGTTCTTTATTGTGTGACCAAACTGGGATGTCCTCTATATGTTTTTGGTCTGTTCTGTTGTTTGTTTGCTTTATTCCCAAAATATTAATCAATTTTGGAGAGAGAAAGAGATGGTAGATCTGAGCTTGGTTGAATCAATTAACAATTGTAAACGGTAAAAATCATAAACCTCAAACACACAGTCCAATAAATGCCAATGTTGACAATCTGGTAACCTTCGTCAACTTGTAAATAACTTCAAATGTGTCCATTGTTTTTGTTTTTGTTTTTGTTTTCAATTTTTATTTTTATTTTTTTCCTTCTTAAATTCGATATTTCTTCTGATCTGTATTTAATTGTCGCGTACGCGAAAAGTTCAAGTGACACACAAAAAAGATTCACCAGTAATGCTGAAAAAGGTATAGAATCACGTTACTGGCAATAGGTATAGAGACTTGGGAGATTTGCTTAGGTGTTTAAAGTTGGTGGTATTAAATTCAATGCAATTTTCTGATCGTATTGATACCAATAACTGTATGAATTAATTCAGAAATTATTATTTTTGTGTAGCTCTAAATTACTTAACCCTATATACTATCAAGTCTTTGTTAGACATTAAACACCTGAAGATGTAAGATATGGTAACAACAAATAATATCGATGAAACACACTTGATAAAATGTTTAGATTACAAATACAACAGCAACAACATGCAATGTAATCAGTAATGATAAGAAGCAAAAGAAGATCTTGTTTAGTATCTCATAACTGGTTTTCATTACGTTATAATAACCCATTCTTTACCTAAACGTTAATATCTTTCTCAGAAGAAAAAACAAAAACGTGACAAAAATAGAGTAGTCATGTGACAAGAAAAGATATTGCAAGTGGAAAGTTGAGATGAGTAGTAGGTGTAGGTGGCATATACTGTGGTGAAATAAGATGAATGGTGTAACTGAACCAGACTATACTTGGACACTAGAAAACACAAAAAAAAAAAGTCATATGATCAACACCATTCATTGGCTTGATAGCTCTTACGAATAGAATTTACAATTCTTTCCTCACCCAGCCATCTCTCTCCTTTCTTCGACATAATGAAGCCATAAGGAAGCCAGACCTAGTCGTTAAATTTGAAATCCTATTATTAAAAAAAAAACGTTCATTGATTTAACGATAATAGATTGATTACTTTACTTTTTTGACATCATTAAATGAAAACTCTAAACTCTTAGTTGTGGATAGAGTCTGGCCCAAGGAGGATAGAATTACTATATCTAATCCCCTATTTAAGGAATTCAAAAGTCGATTTTTTTTTTTGATTCTTTACCATTCTAGATGAATCAAAATTATTACCAATTAGACCCAATAGTTATGTTTCCTTCACCATAGGACTTGTACGACGAAAACTTAACCCAATAAACGTTTCACTACAGTATAACGTCGGTGTGTATAGTACTTTCCTTTCATTTATACCATTTGTCATGTGCCCCCATGTCCGTTCCTTGTACAACAGTCAACAAGAACAGACTGCAGTGCAATATGGCCCACGCAGTATACCCATCCTATCCTGTTGGGACCATTAAAACCACAAGATGGCCACTTTTTTCACACTGTATGAGGTTAATCAAGGCAGTCTCTCTATAGTCTACTATTGGGAGAGAGAGAGAGAGAGACCATGAGTGTATATATCTCTATGTTTTAGACGTATATGTAAGTAACTATTGCTTTCGTATCACCCCCGAAACAAACTTTGGAAGCAACTCTACAACGTTTGGTTCTTCTGACAAAATCAGGGAAACAAAGTGAAAAAAAAAAGTGTTGCAAATACCATCTTGCTGAATCAGAGAAAGAGAGCATTGCACAAGAAGGCAGTTCAACACAAATATGACGATATATACAAAGTAAAGCTGAAGCAATCACCATTACTAGTTGGAAACATTGCAATGGAAGTAGTTCTTGAACCTTTCGTAGGTTATTGTAAAACCATCCAAGAGGAACAAGAGTGAGGAAGTGTGTGTGAGCAAGTGCAGAGAAGGTAAGTAATACGTTTCGAACATTTGTTTTAACTGGCAGTTGAGTCCACTTCTCCCTTGTGCACTTACTGGTCCATTTGGCGTCGTATCCTGATGCGAAATGCATTTCATCTACACATAGAAAGGACCTTTTCTACATTAATTTCCACTTTTCTTAATAGAAAAAAGTCCCAAAGTCCTAATATCCCAATCCCAATCACAAAATTTAAGTTATAAATGGTAAGAAAGAGATACGGCCAGAAACCTTTAAATTTCTTAGTAATTTAAGATTTATTACTAACGTTACATTACGGCAGGGAGGAGGGGGTGGTTGCTGGTGGTACTTGTTGAAGACGTTGAAGCTTGTCTTGTCTTGTCTTGTCTCTTATGATTTTTTTTTCACCGTCTTTTACCTACCGTTCTTGCCACAATAAAGACTCTTTTTATGTGTAATCTGAGCTTATTCAATGGTATCAAAAAGGCAGGTATAGGGTTCTTGTTACTAAAAAAAAATAAAATAAAAAAACTAGGTATCGTTATTATTTGATTAATTGCAACTGGTAGTTAAGAATTTCGTTAAGTAACATTGACTGAACAGAAGAAAAAAAAAAGCAAGATGAGGGTGGTAGTGCTGGGAATCTATTTTCCTTGTCTTTCTTGTTCTGCTATATGCAAAATATTTGTAATGGCAATCACAATTGTAGTTGTAGTGGTGGTTGTAGTTCAATTTAGCTATACTTGCTGATTGATTCCTAACTCTAGACCTCGTCCCTTTCTTCTATATTTTCTCTTTGGTTTCCTCTTATACGCATGAAGGGGAAGGTTAGAATCGAGTGGGAAGAAGTGATTATTAATATGATGATGGATGGTGCTTTAAACTAGGCCTTTTATATATTCATTATATCGTTAACTTAGCTTTATCAAATCGGTATGGCGTGATTGAAAAAAATATATAAAAGGTAGGATATAATTTTTAGTTAAATCTTGAACCCTGTCTGTCTCTTGTTTCTTGCATTATTGTTAACTCTTTTGTTATAGAAAAATCATCATAATCAAAACAATTCATTGTTTAGTTTAAATATAACTCTATCCCTATCCCTCTACAAATAATAATATAATATCAAAAATGGTTCAACAAATTAAATCTGCTGCTGAATTCGAAAAAGCTATTGCTACTGAAGGTAAATTAGTCGTTGTTGACTTCTTTGCTACCTGGTGTGGTCCATGTAAGATGATCTCCCCAATGGTTGACAAGTTTGCTGTTGAATACACTGATGCTGTTTTCATCAAGGTTGATGTTGACGAAGTTGGTGATGTTGCTCAAAAATACGATGTTACTGCTATGCCAACCTTCTTATACTTCAAAGATGGTAAGGAAGTTCACAGAGTTGTTGGTGCCAACCCAGCTGGTATCAAGCAAGCTATTGCTTCAAACTTGTAAGTTTCATGATTAATTGAAGAAGATATGGTGGAAAGAAAGAACTAAAAGAGATAGTGGAAGAATGAACATTGTTCCCATAAAAATAAGGGTTCATCTCATTCTCCCACTTATTTTAAACTAATTCATCATATTTTCGTTACACTTTTTTTTAATTAATTCAAGAAATCTATAATACGAGGTGATTTGGTTTTCCTTTTTCCAATTCCAATTTTAATGTATGTTTTAACTGAGTTAAATTATACTTTGAAGTAGAATAGGAAAGCCTGTTATAAAGAACAATGTTAATAATCAATCACTGCAATCATACATTTTTATATTATTAATTTTTGCCAAAGTCAAAAATCCCATTAAGGGAAAACATAATATAAAATGATAACAATAATAATGCCAAAAAATTCATAGCTAATTTTACAAAATCCATAAGAATCTTTACTTATTATATATATAAATATATATATGTTAATATATACTATATCAACCAGGTGCGTATCTGTATATTTTTAATAAAAGAAATGATAAGTTAGAAAATGTAAGTCTGATGAATATATTTAAAATTGTACAATTGCGATTAATGATTATAATATTGTATGTACAGGTTATTCATGCCCCTCATCTACCCTATATTTGGTTATAAATTAATTTAAGATACAGATAACACAATTGAGTTAACAATTATATAAATAGGTACAAGCTGCTAGCAAACATTATTTTGTCATGACCTTTTCTAGTCCACTACTTGGTATATACGAATAATACAAAATTGGTGATACAAAGGTAGCGGCAGGAAGTGAAAATACCACCTAACCTCAAAGTTTAAATTGGAAATAAATGTTTGATAAGATAAGGTATATACCAGATTTAATGTAAAATCTTATATATGGCTAGGTACTACACGATAAATGAATAAAAAATAGTTCTTAACCGCATATAAAGTAGAAAAATCAAATGTAGATATAATATCAACTGTAATCATAATATTCATTATCCAGTTAATCAACCCCACTCTCCTTCCATTAGTGTCACATAACTTTAATTACCAAACAATAATTCAAGTTCAACTAAATCTATTAGTGTCATTTCACTTTTTACTTCGGTTCAGTTCTGTGCAGGAGGAGTAACGGAATGGTTTGCATGCTTTATTCCTTAGTGTAGTTGTATAGATATATTTCTAGCCACTCATTATAACATCATATAATTTGTAATACAATATATCTTAAAATGAAATTATTGTATTATGTATGGCACAGTATATAACACCAAATATAATACTGCATTATCCCACACTATTAACGAATCAGGAATATAGCTAAGATTCGATTTGAAATTAAAGGGAAGCAACAGGGATAGAGAACAAGAAAAATGTATGTGAACGTACAACCAGGGTAATTACCATTACCCTGACAGAGTACAAGATCGAAAAAACATTCAGTTGGCTTCCACTGTTTCGTATCAAGATGAGCTTCCACTAATTGCTTGCTAAGGAAAAGACTGTCGCCGCACACAGATAGAGGAATCCGGATTCCAAAAAGAAAAAAATACTATTTGACGTTTCTTTTTGAATACCATTGAGCGATTATAGCATCAATAAAATTAAAATGCACATAACAATTTTTTTTATTTTATTCATTATTCATTTGATTATTTCCTATACCAATCCAATGCTAACGCTAATGCCGTTCTCTAGCAGTTACAACTACTGAGAGCACTCATAACTGAATATATCTCTATTCTAACAGATATACGTCAATTCCACAACGGCAGAATCGTTTCAATTCATTCATACGAGTAAATACTGCACTGTTCTTTAATTTCCGAAAACACAAGTACAGATTGATACATATACCTACAGCTGCACTTGTATTTTGATACGCAAACTTCTCTATTTCAGCTCATCTCATCTCATCTCTTGTCCTCGTAACTGAATGAGAGAAAAAAAAAGTTTTTAGTTTCAATTTTATCCAATTTCATGTTCGACTAATCAAGATGATTTCAAGAACTATATACACTACGCTTGCTTGGTATTCCTATTTCCTCTCTCTCTCTCTCTCTCTCTCTCTCTCTCTCTCTGCCTCTCTCTCTCCACTTGGAATATTTCTCAAGAAACCATCCATAAGAAAAAAAACTTTTCAGTTGTGCTCTAATAAGCAGACTCAAGGACACCGCAATAACGAAGCATCGTACTCACCGACCTACGTACCTTTGTCATCCATTAACAACTAACTACTCTTCTTACAGTACTCGCAAGGTTCTACATCATACATTTTTTTTATAACTTCCAGCTCTATCACATCAACAGTAAAATGAACTATGTTGTCATAATTCAAAGTGAATAAAAAAAGTAAATTATCTTATATTTTCCTACTCTAGTATTCTTTTTTTGAATGTTTGCTGGGCAACTAATTATTTTAATTACAGAATGGATGCCTCTTAGGATTACAGAGGTATGAATTTAAATGCATTGCGAGGCTAATTCGACTGCACGATGCTGTTACTCTAAACTTCACCATCCATTAATCTCTCTCTTTTCTTTATTGAATACATAATTCATATCAACTTGAATAAATTAAGTAGAATATAATTGAAAAATTACTCTTTAAGTGAATTATCTGTATAGGATTTGATGAGACTGATTAATCCATGTTGGAAAACCATTGAAGTAAAACCCACCTGGTTGAATAAAAAATTCAATTCGTTACGTTACATCTTTCACACACACATACACTCTTTCTACCACTAATCCTCTGTTGTATACTCAATTGGCAAGAAACAAGAAATATTGTCACCTATTGTCTTTTTATTTTTATTCTTATTCTTATTCGCATTATACTTCTGACATTTCGAATTATTTATTCTATCTACTTTCTACTACCTCTGGCACTACAGCTCACTCATCATTATATTCCCTTAGCTTTATTGATTTGAGTTATCTAGTTACTACAAGAAGTAGAGGTTTTCTTTTTATTCAATAACTTTAATGGGTACTGGAATATTCACCTGTCTGGTTTCACCGTATCCTACTGTATCGGATTCGGATTCGGGTTGGTGGTGAGATGAATGAATAAATTCAATAAATTAATGAAAAAATTAACTGAATGCTTTTGATAGCTATCAACTTACCTTACCTTACCTTGTCTTCGTAAAAATGATTTATATCAATTTTTAAAATCATAATATTCACGTTTCCTTCTCTCTCTTGTCTGTCTCTGTATTGAGCAATTGATCAATTTTTTAATTTTTTTTGGCTTTTTTTTGCCTGTTAATCGAATATTCAATTCCAATTAATTATTCTTATAATTTTCAGTTTCATCCTATACCTCATCACTGAAACATACACTTGACTGCCTGTTAATTTTGAATAAAAAAAAAACTTTTTTTGGTGTAATATTCTCCAACGTAATTGTAATAGTAATATTTTTTATTATTCCAAATTCAATTGTGCCTCTAGTTGTTCTATTGTGTTGTTTGTTATGTCTTAAGGTGATTGAATCGACATTATTTTTTTTTTGATCCAGTGTGAAAGAAAGCATAGTGAGTGAAAAAAAAAGAAAAAAAAATTCCACTTGTTTCTTTTGCTCAGTTGGCATCACCATGAATTTCACTGGAAACCTAATAATAATACACTTATAATTACTCTCAATTCATGCATTCTCTTGTTATCAATAAAAATTTATATAAAAGACATACCTTTTCAAAATATTAATTCACAATTCAAATCATTTCTCTTTAGTATTTTATTTTATCTTTACTACTATTCCTCTCATAACACCAGAGCCTCAACAACTCACAATCAATTATTACAATGTCTGAAATTACCTTAGGTCGTTACTTATTCGAAAGATTAAAGCAAGTTCAAGTCCAAACCATTTTCGGTTTACCAGGTGACTTCAACTTGTCCTTGTTGGACAAAATCTACGAAGTCCCAGGTATGAGATGGGCTGGTAACGCTAACGAATTGAACGCTGCTTACGCTGCTGATGGTTACGCCAGAATCAAGGGTATGGCTTGTTTGATCACCACCTTCGGTGTCGGTGAATTGTCTGCTTTGAACGGTATTGCCGGTTCTTACGCTGAACACGTCGGTGTCTTGCACGTCGTCGGTGTCCCATCTTTGTCTTCTCAAGCTAAGCAATTGTTGTTGCACCACACCTTAGGTAACGGTGACTTCACTGTTTTCCACAGAATGTCTGCTTGTATCTCTGAAACCACTGCCATGATCACTGACATCGCTAACGCTCCAGCTGAAATTGACAGATGTATCAGAACTACTTACATCACCCAAAGAACCGTCTACTTAGGTTTACCAGCTAACATGGTTGACTTGATGGTCCCAGCTGACTTATTGAAGACTCCAATTGACTTGTCTTTGAAACCAAATGACCCAGAAGCTGAAACCGAAGTTTTGGACACTATTTTGGCTATGGTCAAGGAAGCTAAGAACCCAATCATCTTGGCTGATGCTTGTGCCTCCAGACACGATGTCAAGGCTGAAACTAAGCAATTGATTGACACCACTCAATTCCCATGTTTCGTCACCCCAATGGGTAAGGGTTCCATTGACGAACAACACCCAAGATTCGGTGGTGTTTACGTCGGTACCTTGTCCAGACCAGAAGTTAAGGCTGCTGTTGAATCCGCTGATTTGATCTTGTCTGTCGGTGCTTTGTTGTCCGATTTCAACACTGGTTCTTTCTCTTACTCTTACCAAACCAAGAACGTTGTTGAATTCCACTCTGACCACACCAAAATCAAGAAGGCTTCTTTCCCAGGTGTCCAAATGAAATTCGTTTTGCAAAAATTGGTTGCTCAAATTGGTGCTGCTGTTAAGGACTACAAGCCAGTTGCTGCTCCAGCTTTGCCAGCTTCCAACGCTGAATGTCCAGCTTCCACCCCATTGAAGCAAGAATGGTTATGGAACCAAGTCGGTAAGTTCTTGCAAGAAGGTGACATTGTTTTGACTGAAACCGGTACCTCTGCTTTCGGTATTAACCAAACTCACTTCCCAAACAACACTTACGGTATTTCCCAAGTTCTATGGGGTTCCATTGGTTTCACCGGTGGTGCTACCTTAGGTGCTGCTTTCGCCGCTGAAGAAATCGATCCAAAGAAGAGAACCATTGTCTTCATTGGTGACGGTTCTTTGCAATTGACTGTTCAAGAAATCTCCACCATGATCAGATGGAACTTGAAGCCATACATCTTCGTTTTGAACAACGACGGTTACACCATCGAAAAGTTGATTCACGGTCCAACCGCTCAATACAACGAAATTCAAAACTGGAAGCACTTGGACATCTTGCCAACTTTCGGTGCTAAGGACTACGAAGCTATCAGAGTTGCTACTACTGGTGAATTCAACAAGTTGTGTGAAGACAAGGCCTTCAACGAAAACTCCAAGATCAGAATGATCGAAATCATGTTGCCAGTTATGGATGCTCCATCCAACTTGGTTGCTCAAGCTAAGTTGACTGCTAGCATCAACGCTAAGCAATAAACGATTTCGACTCAATTGTGATTCGATTTAGTTTTTGTTTATGTTTATGAATTTTATAAATTTTTAATACACTTAGTGTATTTTTATATATAGAAATATATATATAGGGCGCAACAAATAAATCTATTGTTAAAAAAACTTCTTATTGTCTTTTTAAACACTAAATATTTATATATATATGCAGTCATTATATCCACCTTCCCCTATTCAAAATTTGATTCATCGATTACGACTAATTATATTTGGTTGAGATTGAAATAATGAATAATTTAAGATTAAATCATCCCAAGTTCTATCTGTAAAGGTAGATAAAGAAGTTTCAATAAATTGTGTCACTTGAGTTGCAATGAGATTGCGAAAGTTATCCTCGCTGGAACTATATTTTTACAATAGAAGTAAATTGAATCTACATTCATGTTTCTACATCGGTGTTACATTGAATCAGTTACCTACAAGAACTCAAATCATACATGCATTGAGGAAATCTGTAGCTAAATACCAGCAATTGAGATGCAATGTCATGAAAGCTGGCGACAGTGAGGATGACATTTATTTTAATGATATTGGTAATGAAAAGATATATTTTGCTGATATCGTAGAGTATAAGAATTGGGATTCTGTAAGTGAAAGTAACATTAATTCTATATTTCAAGAATATAGCTTTGAATACTTTACAGATAAACCTGTTTGGAAGATATTAGTCCTTGAGAATCAAAATCAGTTACTAATGTTGTTAGATCATGTTTTATTTGATGGTATGTCAGGAATTAATTTTTGGAATTCATTTATCTCATCTTTACCTTCAATAGATTCAATATCCGAGGACGCAAATGCCAATGAATTAATATTTCCTTTCGAAGAGCCTTCTCAAATTGCAGTTTTGGGGGACAACCATCCCTATGAAAATTGGCCTATATCTACAACTTGGCACATTAAAAGAACTTTGCTTAAACATATATTTAAATGGTATCCAGGAAAGATTATGTCCCATGATCCTCAATTAATAAAGTTCAATTCTTATTCATACCCATCAGGTCTATTGGATAACAATTCAGTTCCTTCGAAATCTCAATATACAATAAAGAACAATAATAAACAATATGAACTAAGAATTCTGCCCGATGAACTTAAATTCGTCCTTCAATATTGTAGGACAAAAGGATTCTCATTGACCTCATACTTGTCTTCATTATTTGTAAATGAATTAAGAACTGTCGATTCATCTTATTATAATGGCTCTAAAATCAAAATTGAGATTCCAATGAATACGAGATCAATATGTGAGAAGGAGCTTAATTTATCACCGGAACAAATGGAATTAGGTAATTTCATTACAGGATTAGGTCTTGAAACTGAGATAGATGGTGAGAAAATTAGTGTCGAAGATTTAGCAAGATCATTTCAAAATTCATTAAAAAAGCAATCACAAGAAAGCATTACTGAATCAATGAACACTACAAAATCATTAGATGTTGTTAATACTAAGGATTTTGTAGAATATAAAATAAATCCATTAGACGACAGTGACATTAGCTATCCTGGTGCCACATTTGAAATAACCAATTTAGGCTATCAAAATTTTGTAGAAAATGCGGGTTTCTGTGTAGTAGATGCAGTATTTGGTCAACCCCAAGGTATTAGTGACAATTTCTTTTGCTCAATAGTCTCAACTAAATTAGGTGGATTAAATTGTCTAATAAGCTATCCTACGTCACTGGAGGTACCATTGGAAAGATGTTTTGATTCTGTTAGAGATCAATTGAAAGAACATAAAAATCATGCAAATGCTTAATTCATATTAAATGAACTATATAATTCTGTATATGATATAGAATGAAAAAAAACTTTCGCTTAAACAGCAAAGCTTTCTTCGTAAAAATGCAAGCCACCGTCTTTTGCCCATCTTTTAGTATTTTCTACCAAGCTTTCAGGACCTGCCGCAACAACCCAAACACTAGCTAGATCATCTACATGTGTGTCATCCTTGTTATCAGAGTTATAACATTGGTTTGTTTCTGATGGACCAATACATTCTTTCTCTAAACACCATGTATAATGACTGTTATCTAGTAACGGCCTACCAAATGAAACCTTTATACCAGCTGGAATCTTAATCTTTGGTTTAGATTCAGTGTAGGGAGGAGAAATTGTATCTAAAGTTGAATTGTAATTTACTGAAATATTATCAGTACCAAAAGCATTTGGTGGTTCAATTATCGAAGGCTTTCTAAAAGCACTAATATTATCAGTGGAAGAATTTGTAGCAGTCCTTAGTTCTGCGGATAATTTTGACTTTGACTTTAATTTCTTTACAGTAAAGGTTTGGGTGAAATCGATTTCATCACTTTGATCGACTGTTGAACCATAAGTAGCTGGCGAATTGAACCCTGAAAGTAATTTTGATTTCGAGTTTAATGGTGGTTCATCTAAGTAAGAGTTAGGAGATGCTGAGTCCAAAGATGTTAGGGTTTCATGTTCAATATATTCAATAGAATTTTCACCACTAACGAAAACCTCCAAACCTTCAAAATTATTCCTGAAATGATTTAATAATTTCAAATCCCGATAGTCTCTTGTTACCCAAATTAATCTTACATGAACACCATTGAAGTTCAAGATTCTTAAAACTGGCAATGCAAATGAAATGGCGGATCCACCCACACACATGAATACTCTTCTAGCGTTAATTTGATAACGTAACGGCGAGTTCAATAATGGCAATGACTTAACCTGGAAATGGAAATTATGAAGTGATTCTTCAGTCAGAGTACACGGTTTCGTTATAAAATCGATCATTGGTTCAAAAACACCAGTTATATAATAATCTCCATTTGTTATCAGTGGTAATGTATTACCATTTCTAATAATTAATTGAACTGTGTCCTCATTTGGTAAGTTTGCCACAGTGAAAGGATGCTGGAAAGGTATGATATGATTAATCCATCTTTTCCAAACATTTTTGCTTTTTAAATTAATTCTTACATGAGCAGCAGGCAGAATTGGTTTATTTGATAAAGCTTCAGCGGGAAATTCTAATAATGATATGCAAGGAGAAATACAGACAATTGAAACTTTTGTTAATTTTGTATGTCTTAATCTATAAACAATTTGGAATAGTAGGATTGAGACACATGATAATGCATAATAAGGGATGCCCGGTTTGGAATGTAAATAAAGTAATAAAATTGTCAACCAAGTTGAAATGTAATGAATATAATAAAATAATTTAAAGTTGAACCTTCTAAATTTTCTTATTGAAGTGAATCCAATAATGACGAATAATAATAATGCTAGTATACCATAAATGTTCGTTAATTTTAATAATTTTAGTTTTAATTTACCATTTTCATAATACCACCAAGTATAAAGAGCAGAATGTAAAGTAGCTTGAAATATCAAAATTCTTGAAATCCATTTATGCAATGGTAAAAGGGATAAATATAGTAGATTTAGTTTTTTAGGCAATGGTGAAGGCCTTAGGGACAACATTAAAACAATCGGCAATAATGAGACTGAAATTCTGCCACATCTTTTTGTAATTTCTTTAAAATCCCAATTTGTATTATAGATAGTGATAAAAGAGATTAAAATTGACCAAAAAAGACATATCTGTAGAGATTGATTATGATAGAATAACGTATGGTGTATGAGCCAGTTAAAATGTTTGTAGAGCAGATGATGTCTTATAATATGCTGTACTTTGAAGAATGAATTGGTTAAAGTTAGTTTATGATAAAATGGTAAAACCAGACAAATTAAAAACAGTGAAATAATCAAAGTAATATTTGAATATTTTTGCACTTTTAAACCCATTAATTTTTTATTACATTTATCTCGATCTAGCTCGTTGCATTCAGAATTACTCGATACTGAATAATCATTAAATAATTGAATCAACGATTCTGTGATCAGGGATAATGACATGCCATAAAATAAGCTATTCCCCTTTTCCTGTCTTGTACGTTAACACTGTCCAACTTCAGTATGTTGAACACTATCTTTAAATACAATATATATTATATATATATATATATATTGTATGAGTTTGGTGATGAGAATATGCAATGAGCAGTGAAACAAATTATGATTTCCACTTTATCGAAAGGTAAAAGCACATAATACTTAGTAACAACCTTGTCTAAACGCTTTTGATAAGTATAGATCAAGAAATATTAAGACACAATTATATTCAACCAATTTAAATTATATCGAATCAGGGAAGTCAGTTACTTAAAATACTTGTTCCCACTAAGTAAATTAGCGGTACAAGGATATAACAAAACTGGAATAAAATTGCACCTGTAAAATAAACAAGTAAAGTAATCATGGGTCATCTCATGGCGACAATAACCGTGATGATGCCAGTAATAATAAAACAATAATTCGATAATTTTCTAATAGAGACAAGAAATCTAGACTATCTATAGATGGTATGATATATTGTACTGAGATGAATTGGATTAAACGCACCTAAATATTTCGTAATGTTATTATTTTTCAAGTTAACACTGGACTTTGACGAATATAGCTGTTACTGTCGTCAAGGGTCAGTTCGGTGTTGCTAATAGTCGACTAACTAAGCTTTTATTTTTCAGTCAGTTTCGAATTAGAATTAGAAATTCGAAACTGAAATTTCGAACTTGCATTGCAGTTGGGAATTTGGGTTTCAATGGATGGAATGATGATTGGTTGGTTAAACTGATTCGATATCATTTGGCAAGAAAGTAGATAACAAACACTGTAAATGTAGAGTTATAGCGAGTGTGAGAAGATAGATGGTGATAATAGTATGTATTTGAAAAGACGTATTTAGTTTGACTGTTGCGAGAGGTGTCGGTTGAGGGGGAGTTCTCCTTTGTAGGAAGAAGAAATAAGGGATTGATATATGGATGGGATGGATGGACGGGATGGATGGACGGGAACTGAACTCATCTAGGGAAATGCCCGAAAGGGTGAACTAAGTCGTTGCACATGACTAGTAATCGTTACAAAAAAAAGGCGTATTGTGAAATTTGCACCCTGCGAGATGAGGTGACTGTACACCGGTACACCATATGTGTTGCACCTGTACATTTCACTAGTTTTGCATTTTTACAAATTTCTCGCTCTAAGGTGTTGTGTCCCCATGTGAGTGCGTCTTTTCGTCTGGATTTGTCATTTATTATGTTTTTTGTTTTTTGAACAGAAGCCAAATATATCTACGGCGGTTTTATTGCTTTCTTCAATTGGTCTCCCAAATTAATTCTCTTGATTGTTTCTCTTTCCGCTTGTGTCTATGCTTGGTAGTAGCCTTTTAAACCTATTCCTACACCAAATATTCTGGAAATGTTGGATAGAACTCTCTTACCAAAGATTGCCAGCGCACCGTACTTGTATCTCTTTCTCTTTCTCTGCCTAGAATAAATCCACACTTTCGGTCTACCAGTCTCTAGACATGGACTGGAAGGACACATCATGTCCTTCTAGACTTGGAACTTCTGTTTAAGCCTACACTCAGATTATACAGTTCATAATGTCTGTATCTGCCTGCGAGTTGCTGTCACTATACATTCGACTACTATTTTATGTAGGCCTGTCCTTTAATTTTCTGTTTAATACACTCACCTGGACCTGTCAACCACCAACCAACCTTCACATATTGTGGGTGTTTCTCTGTTACAAGAACTAAGACAGAGACACCGACGCAGACGCAACCCGTATTTCCTTGTATTTGAGATTTTTCAGTTTCATCTCATCGCTGAAATTATTCAATAATCACCATACTATCAATGGATTTTATTTCACCAATAAAATTTTTTTTCCCAACAGGCAATAACTATAACACATACAGCCACTACTGTATATTCTCACATTAATTTTAACCTTGTCTGCCTTATGCTAACATTACTTGCTAGCTAACGGCTCAGTTACTTGTTTTATTATCCTTTCTCTAATTCAATTAATTCCTCTCTTCTCATCTTTTTTAATTTGCGATACACAATCAATCCAATTCAATGCCATACCACATCACATATCCATTTACATTCAGTAATTACAATAACGATAGAGCATCAATCGTAAAACTACTTTTCTTTGTTGTTGGGCTGTTTCATTCACTGGCAGGCTATCCATAAACTACTTCATTCGATCCCAATAGTAAAAATTTGTGAAAATATAATATACCATCCATCCAACTACTTCACCTTCACCTTCCCATCTAAAAATCAAAATTCAAATCAATGGCTTTTTATTTTATTCCATTCTCTTGTATCTGTTCTACTCTATTCTATCCTGTCCCACTTACTCTAATTACCACATTATACGTTTCGTCTTGCCCGTATTACCTACCTCTGTCTCTTTCTTCTTCTTCTTTTCTCAGTCTCTCAATCTATAGTCTATAGTCGTCTATAGTCTATAGTTCACTACCAACTCAGTGTAACCAACTATCATACACTCTCTATACCGTACCCATCTTTGTCTTGTTGTCAATGTCTTTCCTCTTAGCAATCAATATCATTAGCATGTTTTCGTTCTTTCTAGTTAGCTAGCTTTGCTTTACACTTTGCTTCAACAAACTTTCTTTGTTTGGGTAACTAGTAATTTCCTATATACCATTACTATACAATTTACATAAAATTACTAGTAATTCATACAAGCTTTGGTGTATTTATAAAATTTGGGCACTTTTAATAGCTTTACATTAGCTTTATCTACTGAAAAAAGAACCTTAAGAGAAGTTATAACGAAACCGTCAATCGTCATGTCTTTGCCAGCTACTTTTGATTTAACTCCAGAAGATGCCCAATTATTATTGGCTGCCAATACTCACTTAGGTGCTAGAAACGTACAAGTATGTTCAATATGATATATTGTTATTATAGTATTTACCAAGTTATGAAATGTTTAATTTGAATTGGAATGAAGCAAGAACTAATTGAAAAAAAAATTATATATGTGAAAAAAAAGTTAAGAAGAATGTAGAAAATTTTACAATTAAAAATATATCCTAAACTGATTCAATCACACGAAACAACTAAAAGAATGATTAAATCCAATTGATAAGTACATGATTTAAATTGCCCAAGAAAAACCATACAGAATCTCCATTTTCCATTTCCCACTTTTTTAGTCCAAGATTGCAAAATAAGGCAATTAATAGTAATAAATTTGATTGGAAGGGCGATAGATTCACCCTTAGAGTTGAAATGAATACCTGTATTCCCATTGTTTTATTCCAAAAATATTAATCATTGAAATAGCTTTCAGATTTTTTTTATTTATCAATTAGAGTTACTAACATAAAATTTTATCTATCTTAATTTTTATCAATAGGTCCACCAAGAACCATACGTTTTCAACACTAGACCAGATGGTGTCAACGTCATTAACGTTGGTAAGACTTGGGAAAAGATTGTTTTAGCTGCCAGAATCATTGCTGCTATTCCAAACCCAGAAGATGTCTGTGCTATCTCTTCCAGAACCTACGGTCAAAGAGCTGTCTTGAAGTTCTCTGCTCACACTGGTGCTACCCCAATTGCTGGTAGATTTACCCCAGGTTCTTTCACTAACTACATCACTCGTTCTTTCAAGGAACCAAGATTGATTATTGTCACTGACCCAAGATCTGATTTCCAAGCTATCAAGGAAGCTTCTTACGTTAACATCCCAGTCATTGCTTTGACCGATTTGGACTCCCCATCTGAATACGTTGATGTCGCTATCCCATGTAACAACAGAGGTAAGCACTCTATCGGTTTAGTTTGGTACTTATTGGCCAGAGAAGTCTTGAGATTAAGAGGTGCTTTGGTCGACAGAACCCAACCATGGGCCATCATGCCAGATTTGTACTTCTACAGAAACCCAGAAGAAGTTGAACAACAAGCTGTTGAAGAAGCTTCTGCTACTGGTGCCACTGAAGAAGCCACTGAAGAAGCTACTGAAGAAACCACTGAAGCTACTGAATGGGCTGAAGACAACACCGAAAACGCTACCTGGTAATCATCATAATATGTATATGCCAAACATATATGTATGTCTGTACAATCTATTTTCTACTTTATATATCTCTAATTTTATAAGAAAATAAATATAATATCGTATCACACAGAAAGTAATATTTAAATGATCAAAAAGCAAAAAAAAAGACTATAAAAACTAAAACATCCAATTTCAATCAAGATATGGAGTTCCAGCACAATGGTACCAATAGTTATACTATCTTTAAACTAAGTGTCAGCGCATCAAGAATACACAGTATTAACGTTGCTTATAGCATTACTGTCTCTTATTCTCTTCTATATATCACTAACAATCACGTATACAATGATATACATTTCGCAATTAGCCTGTAATTTTTCAATGTTTCGAACTATCGATAGTAATGAAAACTGGATAGAATATGCAGATATATATATATATATATCCTACACTAATAGGGATAAATATGGTAAAGAAGCTTTTGACAAGACGGATTAGACATCAATTACCTTGGACTTAAGGGTTACGATCGGCAGGATCAGTTTCATAACAATACTGAAAACATGACTGTATCGAAGCAAAGGCTTTTGAAAATAGCAGAATTATCTGCAAAGATATTTGATCAAAATTTTAATCCTAGTGGTGCTAGAACTGGTTCAAAAATATTATCAACCAGACTTAAAGGTGCGTCAATTGCCAGTTATTATGGTAACCCTGATGTATTGAAGTTCAAACACATGAAGACATTGTATCCAGATATGAAGTTTACAGATGCAGAAGAAGAATATAGATTATCAATGGTGGAAGCAAGGAAACGTCGTGGGAAAGGTACTCCTACAAAGAAGAAATCTGCTGATGGTAAGAAAAAAGGTAAAAAGAAATAGGAAGACCTGATCTCTTCATCAAAAAATTTGAAATAAAAGTAGGGTCCACCTTCCTTTTCACTTTTCCCACACCCAATTAAAGAACAAAACAATTAGTTTCTCATGTATATACAGTCCCCAAAGGAAACTCTACAAGGTCTAAACTATAGTTCTTCAAATTACCTCCCCCCCCTCTTCACGTTTGTTTTAGACCACATCTCACTCTACCACATATAAATATAAAAATATAAATACATAAGTATATAAGCATTGTTTATACTACATCTCATCGCCTATTCGACATAATATTCAAGAATAATACAAAATCTGAGCTCTCTAACCTTGATCTTCTACAAATAGAGGAAACAAATACTTCATCACTTCTTTTCTTTTATATCAATCATACATGTTCTGTACATTTGGAAATTCTAGGCGCATTCGTTTTTATCACCATCCTTTTTATATCCGGAATGTAAAGGAAATTTTGAAATCATATATATAAACTAAGCCTATAATTATTCAATGATGTTTTGCAGAACAAGATCAGTTTAAGAGGTGTATAAAGTTCTAATAGTATAAGAATCAAGGTATCTGGATAAGAAAATATCAATGAATTGTTTATGATTAAACTGATTCCATGCTTTTTTATTTTTTAAGTTGATGGATTAAATATTAGAAACACTGGTAAACTTTTATATTTTTGCATATTGTTTTTAATTCCCCTTATTGCATCATTTGGATACATCTAAAACAAAGTTGAACAAGAAAAATAGTACCATTTATTATTTAATAATCATTTCTATATTTAAGAGGTCATATATCCATTGGACTCTTCATCTGCGTAATATATATTTTTTTTCTTTACTTTGATTAAGTAAGTGCTAGTGCCACATAAGGGTGGAACATGGTAAAATCAAAGGATAATCATAATTCACCAGTAAAGAAAAAAATATCTACTTCTGCCGAAGATTCAAATATTAGTGGGGATCCTGAATTACCGTCATTTATTACTAGTACCCCATTAAGAGAATTATTCCATGACAATGATGAGAATATTAGCGGTTATGGAACTAGAGAGCACAATGCGATTGATCGTTCCAGGAGTGCTCATAGAATCAATCTATCAGTACCGAAGGCCTCTAGAAGAAGACGATTATTCTCACCTACTCGAAAATTGGGGGCAGATTACAATGATACAGTCGACAAAATAGGAAGTTCTTCAAGGACGAGAGCGTTTATGGTATCTGAGCCACCATTATCTCCAGCGAATTCAGTAGATTCATCAAGAGTTTTGCTAAATGAAGGGATAGATAATTCGATATCTAGTGGTAAAAAATCAACGTCAACCCCATATGCAAGTGGATTTCTATCATTTGATGAAGATATGAGATTTCAATCGCCTAATTTAACCAATAGATCTAATAAATTCATTTCTTATATTTCTAGTGAGAATATTGATGAGTTTTCTGGGATACAGAAAGGTTTGGATATGGCTCTAAATAATGCTAATGTTTCATGGCTACAACCAAACATTAACCACCCAACTATAATCGAAGCGACTGAAAATGATGAAGATACGAACAGCCTTCAAATATATCCATGGAGAACTGAATCATTTTCAGAAAATGAAAACCGTAAGAGAGAAACAATAGGCAGAAACAGTGGTAGATTGGATATAAAAAATTTGAAGAGAAGCTCAATGAATAAATACCGTGATTCGAAGGACACCGATATAGCTGAAGAAATTGTATATGATGAAGTGGATGATGTAGATGATAAAAATGGGGGAGGTGATAAAGAAAATTCGTTTCATGTATTTGGAAAAACTCTCTATCTATTTTCCGGTGAAAGTAAAATACGATTATTCTTCATTAATACCCATTCTAATTTCAATTACCATGTGTTGCAATCACTCATTTTGATCATCTTTATTGCCCTCCTATCCACAAGGGTGAGTTATGCTGATAATAATATAGTAATTTATGACACCAAAAATGCAATTGATTGGTGTTTGTTTTCCCTAAACTTATTTTTTACTGTCGATGACCTAACAAAGATTATAGCTTTTGGTTTTTATGATGATTCTGAAATGCGCGAAGCCCATGGTAAGCCTTATAAGTCCATTATAGATCATATAAATGAATCAAAATTAATATTATACTTGAAGAAACTTCCAATATTTGAATTTCTATTGGGATATATATATGATCAGGTATTACTGTTGTGTAATTATGTGTCTCCTCCAAAAGATAAGGTTAAATTTTGTTGTAAGACCAAGCATTCTGAGAACGATATTTGCACGAGGAGAGCATATATACGTTCAATAAAGAATGTTTTAGATTTTATATCGATCGTCTCTTACTGGATAGGAGCAATTATATCACTGCCTGGAAACCATAATCATCAAGCTTCAAGATTATTTAGGGCTTTATCAACGCTCAGAATATTCTCGATTTTGAATATAGATAAAGAAGTGCTAATAATTTTGAAGGGAATAAAGTTAGGTTTACCTCAACTTTTAACCGTCGGTTCCATGGTGTTATATTTTTGGATTTTCTTTGGCATAGTAGGTGTACAAATATTTCAAGGCTCCTTTAGCAGACAATGTGTTTGGACCAATCCAACTGATCCTAATGACACATATAGGTATGATATGAAATTTTGCGGAGGTTCTATGGGCAATAATTCTACCACTAAACTAAGTTATAGAGATTCAAATGGAATATTTAGTAATATAACATCTGGATTCCTTTGTCCAGTGAATTCGTATTGTATCTCTGATATAAATCCCTATAATAATAGGGTTAGCTTTGATAATTTAGTAAATTCAATGGAGCTAATCTTTGTAATAATGAGTACAAATACATTTACAGATTTGATGTACTACATGACTGAAGCAGAATCTTTATCATCAAGCATTTTTTTTATAGTAACTGCCTTTATTATGTCTATATGGTTACTTAATTTACTAATTGCGGTTTTAGTATCTTCATTTGAGAGTGCAAAAAGTGAAGATCGTAATCAAAAACGTTCAAATAGCATCAAATTTTCTTTACTAACCTTTCCCAAACGTATTTCAGCTTTTTGCAGGACAAAAGCTTCAAAGAAGACTCTTCCTCGATGGTCTAAAAAATTAATACAAGTATACCAAATTTTTGAATGGATGTTTGTTGATTTGATTATTATAAGTTTGATTATATTAAGTTTAGTCCAAAGCTCAAGTTCTATGGAAGACATTTCATATATGAACAAAGGCAATCTCGCCATCAATGCCATTTTATTGGGTGAGTCAATATTTAGGCTATTCGTTTACATTCCTAATCTATGGAAATTTATCATAAAGCTTGAATATGTTTTTGATCTACTAGTATCTGTCATTTCACTGGCAACTTTTATATCAGCTTCATTATAGGAAAAGGGCCAAGCATTTTCCTGGCTTTTAAATTTCCCAAATCTAAATTTTATCAAATGGCATGTCATTTAAAATACCAAAAAAGTTTGGAAAACCGTTAAAAAATAATCCATGAAACCCAACTGGGGAACCTCCATTTCCCTTCCAGGTTCCGGCCTCCAAAGCCATTCTGGTTTTTTCGGGGAGGTTTTACCAGGTATTGAAAAGATTTCAATCACCGGTCCCCTTACCGGATCTTCCTTTCCTAAACATATTGCCCAGGGAAATTGGACCAATTCTTTTAGACCCAAAATTCTCCAAACCTTCCCTCTTTTTCTCAAAAAATCAACGGGATAAAACCAACCCCGATTATATATTTATGTTTATCCAAACCCCACGCCTAAAAAAAAAATACCCCGCACCCCTAATGTTCCGAAAATAAGCCAGTTTCTT